AGCAGGGGTGTGGGATGGATGGATCTGTTCCAGCCATACCCATGGCACTGGGTGCAGGTCTGATGATGATGATGATGAGGACCCTGTGCCCTAAATGGGTCACAGCTGGAGGAAGGCAGGAGTTGGAAGCCTTGTAAGCACTGTCTGCTGGGGCACTTGGTTGCTCTTCATCCAGCAGCAGGGCTTCTTTTCCAGAAACTGGGGAACACAGGTCCCAGGGCTTGCATGGCCCCAGCTCCTGTCCTCACTTTCTTCCCTACTCAGTGCCCACAGCCTTGCTTGCTCAGCAGACACCTTGTAGCCCTGTGTGCAGGGATGTGTGGCATGTGCCCACATAGAAATGGAGCCTGTCCCTTCTGCCATCGGACATCTCACTCATGAGCATCTACTCAGCTTTAAAAATAGGGGGAAAAAAGAAAGAAATGCATTACAGCCTATTTCTGAGTGCTGAAAAAGGGGCAAGGTGCTGGTCCAGCTTTGAGATACCTCATGAGGCACTCTGAGGACATCTTCCCTTGCTTCCTCCCATCCCTGCTGGCAGTGCCCTGCTTGGTGCCAGCCCTGAATCCTCCAGGCAGGGTGCAGAGGGCTTGCCCTCCTGGCTGCCACACTTGCCCCCTGCCAGGGAGGGTCAGGTCTGGGTGGGTGCCCAGGGCTTGCATCCTCTGCTGCCCCAATGCCAGTGCCAATATTTTCTGTCCGCTCTGATTTCATGTGCTGCCACAACTTGTCAATGTGCTGTTTGGTATATCAACAAATTGACACTACACAAACAGAAGGCTAACAGGGAATGATTTATCCAGGACAACACATCTGTGTGTCCAGCATGGCAAGATGTCCTGGAAACAAAATTCAGTATTTACCAAGGGCTTATCGGCAGAGCTGGTGTTTTGTACCACAGTTGAATTACACTTGGATCTCGCTCTTTCTGGATGTTGCTCGTTTAATCATAGGATGCTTTCCTTTTAATTAGGCACTGCTGCTACAGATGAGAGAATTAGCAGACTCATCTTTTAATGGAGAAGCTGAGGCTGTGGCAGCTGTGCTGTAATGGGGGTGGTGAGCAGAGGCTTTGTGCTGCTTAGAAACCCCAGGCACAGAATCCCCAGTTCATATCTGCACATCAGTTTCTGCTTCTTGAAAAACATCCCTTTTAGGATGGTCCTGAGGGGTTTATTTTTCCCCACAATATATCATTGAGTCGAAGGATGCTACTTCCCCCAGCTGCTGTGTTGTGGCCCTCAGAGAGAAAATCTGAGTGATTTTGCCAGCTCTTCTCCTCCCAGCCCAGTGAGGATCCATGGAGCTGGTTGTGTGCCAGGAGTCAGTGACTCTCTCAGGTACATCATGTCTAGAGCTGGTCAATAGTGTTTTGATTAGATTGTTATTGTCAGAAAATGGCAGTTTATCACAATTGAAGCTGTTTGTGGGAGAGGAGCAGTTTCAGTGAACTGGCCTCAAAAAAACCCCCAACTTTATTGGGATATGTTGTCTGAGGTGCTTGAAATGTCCACTTGGACAGTTGGGGAATAAAAAGTTCCATGTTCTTCTTCAAGCTGACTTTTATTTATGTTTTTTAATTTTGTACTCTTTACAGTACAGAGCAAAGGGATAAAGGAATGGGGACTGAAACAGAGGGAAGAACCTCAAGATTTTGTGCACTGTGTTTTAGTTTCCCAAGTCTGAAATTTGGAATTCTTGTTTGGGATGGGATGATAATTTCAGTTCCCATGGGAGGGAATATCATGTTCCTGCTGTACTGTAATGAAGTCTCAGGAAAGAGGTCTCAGACATACTTGTGATTTCTCTAGAGTAGAAGCATCTTAAAAAAATCTCATTGTCTATATACATCTGTGGCTGAACAAAAATCCCATAGCTGGCATTCTTAGAAGGGTCTGAATCCCCACTGCCCAGCTGAGATTTCCTGGGGCAGGATCATGATCACAGCTCTTGGTACAAATAAATCCCAGTGGTGCTCATGGCAGGGGTGCCCCATGGACCAGCTGCAGCTCTGTGTCCCTTGAAAGGGATGGTGAGCTACCCTGGGGACCCCTGAGTGGGACTGAGGGTCTTGGGGGGATCCCTTATTCACAGATGGTTGTGAAATCCCCCAAGTAATTTGCATTGCCCCATCTCAGCTGTTTAGGGATGTGTAGTTTCCCAAAGCAAAATACCTCAGTCGATTTCAGCCAGGTCAGAATGTAGTGTGCTTCCAGTAGCTCAGCTTGCCCACCCCAGCAGAGCTCCAGACTGCTCTGGATCTCTTCTCTCTCTCTCTCCTCTCTTTTCTCTCTTCTCTCATTCTATCCACTTTGGCCAATTACCTTAGATTTTTGGATATTGATTCTCACCTCTGTTTCAGCAGTCCCCACTCTTCATTCTTACTATGTTTGCCCAGTGTCTCAGACATTAAAAACTGTTTCCTACATGAGAAATGGAAAAGAGTTTGTGGAGGAGGAGTGGGGGGCAGGCAGCTTTTTTGGGGTGAAGCAATTGGAGGCAGGTGGATTTGTGCTGCTGTGTCAGCATGGGCTGACCCATAGCCCTCAAAAGCCAGTGCCAGGGCTATTTGGGTGTTGGATATCTCCTGAGTTGGGTGGTCTGGGAGGGAAATTTCTCGGCCCAGAGGGGTCACAGCCTCTCCAGTGTGTGCCAAGGCTCCTGGGAGGGTAACAATGTAAGTGCTGCTCCCACTCTGCCTCCCCACATCACCCTGACAGCACATCCCATCTGGATTTGCACATTCCAACAATATCTCTGACCAGAAAGTGCCTGTGAAGTCCAAAGTTTCATTAATCCATGCTCTTAACACGTCATCCCTTCCAGGGCTGTTGGATTTTCCATGTCAGCCCCTACGAGGAAGGGATGTTGTGACTGCTGGAGATGTTTGGCAAGGGGTTTAACTGGGTTGTGCCTGCAGGGCCAGTTAGATCTGACAGTGCCACTGCAGAGGGGGAACAGAGGGTGGAAATCAGCCTTCAGGGTCCGGGTTAGTGGCACTGATGGATGAGGAGGAAATCTTCCAGGAACACATCTCCTTTCCAGCCCTATCGCTGCGGTACTGATAATGGCACAGCCTGCCTCGGCACTGAGGCACTCATGAATGAGTTGGCATTTTTGTGGGAGTAATGTAGAATTGTAGCTGTTTCAAATTGTCCTGAGGTGCAGCTTGACATATAAGTTCCTGGCCTATTTATTACCCTGTGTCTGAGTGTTCCCATAGGTATTACAGCATTAAACCATGGCTGAATTTAATATTGGGAGCTGCAGCATTTGTATTTCAGTTGTAGATCAGTGAGCGGGTGGTCTGGGCTGTGTGCATGGTGTGTTTGGCAAGCTCTAGCCAAGGGATCTGTTCTTCAGCAAGGATGTTTGAGGTATAAGTTGTGTTCAACACCCTCTTCTTTTTCCCTTTTTTTTTACATTTTCTTTTAAATGCTGCTGTTTCCTCCTTTGCTATGCTGTGTGATCACAAGCTCCTACCTATGGGAGAATAGATTACATCAGAGATAACATCATACCAGTTTGGGTTCCTGTCTACCCTCAAGCCAGGTTGGAGGAACTTGAGCTGCAGAGGCTGGGCCTGGGTAGTTCAACACTTGGAAACAGAGATTTGAATGCCTGCATCGATTTATCTGGCATGTATCTATAAACCCCTTGCTCACTGTAGTTTTTTGTGGCTCTGAAGAACACTTGACCAAGTGTTGACCCTGGCCCTGAGGTCTCCACTCTCGTGGTTGCCACAGTGCTGGGGCTAGGTCAAACCTTTCAGCCTGTGATGTGGTGTAGCAGCTCGTGGTCTGTCACAGGAAGTTTTTGGCCAGTCATGAATGTGATTCATGTAAGTGGAAGGTGCAGTCAGCTGCATGTGTTGCACATTGTCTTCTGCTCCTAGCGTGGCTGCTGTGAGCTTGCACATCTGCCATAACCCACCATGGTTATGGCCCAGGCATATAAAGCCACATGGGTGGTTAGAAGTGGGGATTTAGACCAGCCAGAGCCAAACTACCCCAGGGGAACCTCACAGCCACTGTGTGTGAGGTGTTCAGTGAGCTGTCAGCCCACTGCCCTGCGCCACCTCAGCACTGCTGTGACCCCACTGCCATCGGCCAGCAGGATGTCAGCTCCTGATTTTAATGAAGCCTTTCAGCAGAAACATGCAGCCATGTGTGGGGGTTAAATGGGGAGAAGGTATCTGATGTGTGGATTCTGTCTTTGCCGTTGACTGATCCCACACAGATCAAAGCCACCGGGTTTTGTCTTCTGCCATATGTTTTCCAGTAATGCCCACCCACCTGTCAGGGAAAGAGAAGCACCTGCAGGCATTGTTGGGAACCCTCTGTGAAACATGCTAAAAAAGCATAAAAGGTATTAATTTAGGTCTGAGACTACCAAGGGTCTGTTTGTTAAGTTTTTGGGGTTTTTTCATATCTCTATTTTCAGATTGCCTGTCTGGAATGCCAGGACTGGGCGCTTCCTCAGTTGCAGATTTGGCACTGCCTGATAATGAGATTTTTTTTTATTTTTTTGAGTAATGAGATTTTTTTGGGAGCCATTCTGGTTATATCACCTCAGATCTCTGCTTTTGAAAAATCTTAGCTCAAATCTTTTGATGAGGTCCTGAATAAAAAGACAGGCCCTAAAGGGATATTTATGTGAGAAAATGGTCTGACTTTCCCTTCTGCGTAAGGAGAATCAATGTGGGGGATGTAAAAGCATTAAGCCTCAGTACATGCTACTTCTGCCTAAATCTCCTGAGGTGGTACTAAAGCTCTGATGTCCAAATTTACCTGCTGGATTTACAATGGACTTCTAAACCTTATACACTCTGAAAGTATTTTCATTCCATGTCCTGGACTTTGAGTGAGCTATTGCCGTTTTCTCACCACATCATTAGCATGGGTATTCTCGCACTTGCAGTATTGGGGCTTGTGTTTCCGTGTGATTTTTTGGATATGGAGCTGGCTGTTTGTTTTCTCAATTTCTTCCTCTTTCCCCAGCCAGAGGAACTTACCAATGCCCTGGAGATCAGCAACATTGTCTTCACAAGCCTCTTTGCCCTGGAGATGCTGTTGAAAGTCCTTGTTTATGGTCCTTTTGGCTACATTAAGAATCCATACAACATCTTTGATGGGATCATTGTGGTGATTAGGTACAAACCTTGAGCTTTCTTTATGTGTGTTTCTCCTCATTTGGCTGTTTAATTAAACAGAAAGCGATGGAGATTTGGCAAAAATACCTTCCTGTGACACTTTAAACTTCTCTCTGTAATTAATGCACTTAGGCATGATTGCTAATACATATCTTGGGATTATTTTATGGTCATTTTAGAGAGAGGACGAAGCAGAAAGCTATCAGTCCCGATGTCCTGGGACAGTCTGGGATCCAAATGGCCCAACCAGTGCCTGATTAAATATCTCTGGTTTTTTTGGCACATGCAAAGGCTATAATTGCCCCTGCAGCTGCAGTCACTGATTTCCAGGCGTATTTTTGACACTCAAGTGGTCCTCTGCTCTTTGCAAGCCTGGACAGAGTCCAAATCACCGCGGGCATTGGCACTGCATCTCTGCCAACTTTCCATCTCTCTTCTCTCTGAATTTCACCTTCCCTTCGCTGCCTCTCCTCCAGGCCTTTGCAATTAGGCTTTGTCCTGTCATCTTGCATTGACATTTTTTGTCCTCCTCAGCGTGTGGGAGATTGTGGGCCAGCAGGGCGGGGGCCTCTCCGTGCTGCGCACCTTTCGTCTGATGCGGGTGTTGAAGCTGGTCCGCTTCATGCCAGCCCTGCAGCGCCAGCTCGTTGTCCTCATGAAGACCATGGACAACGTGGCCACCTTCTGCATGTTGCTGATGCTCTTCATTTTCATCTTTAGGTGAGTGTTTCCAGTTTTTCCTGTCCTGAGCTTGCTCTGGGTTTTTAGATGGGATCCCGTGGTGGGATGAGGACAGAGTCCATACCAGAACGTGGCTGAGCTGAGTGGTCCCAGAAACAGCATTGCTGCCTGTGGTTTATTGCCCTAAATTCTCTCACTTAGACAAATGAGATGTTTGTCTTGGCAAAATGGTTTAGAAAGAAAATCTTTCAGGCTGGCTGATTCCTTGACATCACCCCAAGACAGCAATCCCATTACTTACCAACTGGTAAGCCTGGTGCTAAAAATACTGCCAAGTAGAGGATGATGTTCCTAAAGAAATGTCAGACATGGTGGTACTTGTGCTTTTTCATGGCCTCATCTTCAGACAAGTAGAAATGTTAGAAACAGGGTTGGCGTAGCCCTGTATTTTTAGATTTTGGTCTAGATTTTGAGAAGAACCTTCTTCTACAGCCAACTGCAGTGTTTGAGCAATGCAGGCACTGGGAAGGCTGAAGAGAGTCAGTCTCTTCCAGGGGATAATGTCCCTTCTTCCAGTGAGACTCCAAAAGTGCCATTTGCTGCTGTGGTACTCAGTAGAGCTGTAAATAATTTGATTATTCAGGTTACTAGCAGAGAGCAGGGAAAAGCAGATTACTCTTTTAGTATCTATCCTTAATGAAAGGTATTCTGTTCTTCTGTCAAAATTGAAAAAGCTGTTTCAAGTCCCCTGATATATCTTATTCAGGCATTTCACAGAAATCCTTTTTGTCTTCCTAATTCAGTTGAAGCATATTTTGCTGAAAATGTGTCATTGCAAAACAGAAAGTCAAAACATTTTGTTTAGAAAATGTTGAAAGACAATGTTTTGACTTCCAAAAAACAAAGCAGAAGAAAAATAAGGAGCAGACATACTTTTTGGTTGAAACTCCTTGACAGATTTGACCTAGATTCACAACTGATTTGCGTGATCTCAAGGCATGTTTTTCAGTGAACAAAGAATCCATCTTTTTTAAAAAAAAAAAAAAGTAAAAAGGAATTGCCCAGGTGAAATCAGGAGACAGCCACTCTGGAGTTTGATTGCTGATTTGTGTGGTGGTCCCATTGTTGAGCCCCTGCTTCCTATTGTTTGCAGCATCCTGGGCATGCACCTCTTTGGCTGTAAGTTCGCTTCGGAGCGCGATGGTGACACTCTGCCCGACAGGAAGAACTTCGACTCCTTGCTCTGGGCCATCGTCACTGTTTTCCAGGTACAAAGTGGAAAATGCCACAACTGGTGGGCTTTCTGAGACTGCAAAGACTGGGGTTGGTTTCCAATGCATCCGACAGAGCTCAGTGAAGCTCCATGCCATGGAAAGAAGATGACCCAAAATCACAAGTGCAGGTTTATGGAGGCTTTCAGACTGTTTTCCAGACTAAATCAGAACCCTGCTGAGGAGGGGCTGCCAAGGCAGGAGGATCTTGTGTTTGCAGGGTATGGACTGGGTGGGTGAAAGTAAGTGCAGAGGGAAGGGGTGGAAAGGAGGAGATCAGGACCGTTTGTAGTGGTGTTTCGACAAATAATGGAATCTGGTTTATAGCTGATATGTGCAGGTTTTTGTTATAGCAGCTCTGGGCCCTGTAACCCTGGGATCTGTAAAGGACTTTGAATCATCCTGGCTGACCAAAGGAAAGGTCTGACCAGTGTGATGTTACCCTCCCTTATGGCTGTTCTTGGACGTGGGGGACAGGGCAGTTTGCACAGGGTCTTTGCTGGTGGTTGGGAATCACAGGCTCTCTGGTCCTCTCTCTTCCCTGCTCAGAAGGGATTTATCGTCTTGTGCTTACAGCTACAGTGGATATACCCTAAAAGCAGGATGCTTGTCTGGCCTATCCACAGTGTGGACACCCAGCATGTTATCTATCCTCCAGTATCTCCATAGTCTGAATACCTTTCCTCTGCAGATTTTGACCCAGGAAGACTGGAACAAGGTCCTTTACAATGGCATGGCCTCCACCTCCTCGTGGGCTGCTCTCTACTTCATCGCTCTCATGACATTTGGGAATTACGTCCTCTTTAATCTGCTGGTGGCCATCCTGGTAGAGGGTTTCCAGACAGAGGTAATGTCCTCATGTTCATGCCTTGGCTTTCTTCTCGAGTTTTAGGGCCTCCAGATCCTGGAATCTGATTTCTGAGGTGGACACCAATACCTTGACAGAAGTGGTATGGGAAAAAAAGTGGGGTAAAATATTAGGTCATCTTCTTATATTTTTTCCTTCTTTTTTTTTGTTTCCGTAGCCATGGTGCAATTTAATACAGCAAGCCCTCTAAATGAAGGGCTTAAATGAAAAGCATTGTTAACATTAATGCAGGAGTGGGAATCAAGGGGTGAGTCAGGCACTGTGGATGGGATTGCTGCTATGACAGTCTCTTTGAAACAGTTTTCACCATGTTTGTCATCCAGATTAAAGGCCCCTCCTGAAAACTTACACAGGCTGGTAAGAGATTAGTGACATGATTATCTTTTTTCATTATATGCATTAATGGAGCTGTACCAGTTCCCAGCCCTGCAATGCTTTGTGTATTTTAAAGAACATGATTTCTGGTCTCTGCCATCTCCTTCCCCATAATGGGAGCTTCCATGGGACACCCTGCATTGCTGGAGGCTTTGAGGGGGCACGAGGTGCTTGAGCTCAACCTTTTTTCCATCCTACTGCCAATCCAACTGTCCAGCTCGGAGTGGGTGTGCATGTCACCTAGACCCCCTCAGACTGGGGGACCTGTGATGCCCACCCACTCCTGGCAAAAGTTTTCCAGCTGCTCAATAACACCCATAAGGGGAGGGGACCCTTACACCCTGCCTGGGGGGTAGGTTGGAGAGGTAAATACAACCTGAAACTCCTCACTGGGCTCTGCTTTTATGGGCTGTGCATCTATACACTATCTCTGATTTTTTAAAGCATTGTGGGGTGAATAAATATTATTTAAGATTTGTTGCATGTATATTATAATATCCTGGCACCCTATGAACAGAGCTGGTTTTATTATCATTACTATTTTTGCAAGTTTGGAGTTTAAATAGAGTCATACCAGGACATAGCAAGAAGAAATTTTTTGTTGGTATCGTCTCTCTCTCTGTGTTGGTGCTTTTCTTTTTTAATTGTTATTGTTGTAGCTGTTTCTGTCTGTAAATTCCCCCCCACCATTCAGCCAAAGGGACAATCACTGCTGGGTTGTCTTGAAGAGCAAAATGTTCCTTTGCCCAGTTCTCTCAAATAGCAAAAATGTTCCCTTGCCTGAGTGAGAAGAGGTACAAAGCTGCTTGTCTGCTCCTGGTGGCAGCTTCGAAACCCAACCTTTGTTCAATCTAGCAAATTGATCTTTGAAGGTCACCAGCACAGGAGATCACCTGGGGCACCCACTATGCAGAGAAAAGGGCCTTTAAATGCAGCAGCCCATTTGCCAGCCCCTGGCCCTTAAGGGAGGCTGGCTCCTCTGCTCCTTGGCTCAGCCTGGTTTGCCATGCAGTGTGCCTCTTCCTGGGCAGCAAATTATCCCTTGCTTTGTGCTGCGGTGCAGCTCCCTGTAAAGTCATGTCCTGGCTTAATGTGTTGTGGTTTTATTCCAGTAATTATGTCCTTGAGGGTATGGCTCCCCTGCAGTTAGGGAAGTGCCTGTGACACTCCTCAAATTTGTTCTTGGCTGTTTTCTGCAGCAGGACTGCCCCCAGTCTCCTCTGCCAGGGCAGCGCTGGGCTGGTCCAGGCCAGCTCCAGGATATCTTTGTAAGCTGAAATGTGCTTTAAGTGCTGTGTAAATCAGGGAGGAACCTCGGATTTGGGACAGCACTGGGACAGCCTGAAGCCAGTGATGCTTTTGCCAGTATTGAGGTGAGCACAGGGACCAGGAACCAGTGGAGTCCCTGAAGACCAAGCCCAGGTTGTCAGTCCTGTGCAGCCATGACAATTTTAACAAACTCACACCATATTTCTATAATTTGTGCCTCTGATTATACTTCTATTTTATATCTCAGGCTTGGATGACAGCTTTTCCATAATAATCTTCCTTCCACATCCTAGTTATTCTGAGTTCTCTACATTCTTCCAGTAAGGTGCAATGGCACCAAGAGATCCCTTGGCACAACCCAGGTTTCCTGCAGCAGACTGGGAGCAAATATCTCTGGAGGTCAGGCCCCAGGTCTGGCCTTGCTGGTTTATGTTTATTCAGCTTTGCTGCTGTGTAGCTTTGTGAACAGATCACACTCTGGTTTTTGCAAGCCAGCACAGAGAGGATCCTCTCCTAAGCAGAATTAATAGAGAGATCATCTCTCGCTGTAAACAAACCCCGGCATCCACTGCCCGTGTCTGCATTTGACTCTTCTGAGTCGAGTTTGTTGGTTTGGTGGTTTTTTTTTTCCATTCTCCTTCAGATTTCTGGGCTGAAACACAATCCTGGGGCTGCTGCCTTTATCTCCCTGGTCCTTGAGTGCCTTTCCTCAATCCACAAGCATCTCATTAATATTAGTAAATGGCTTTGAAGCCCCAGTTGCCAGGCAGAAGATGACTATAAGCAGCTGAAAAACTAAAAGGTCCTCTTCCAAACTTTAAATACAGAGCAATATATTTTGTAGGATTGGGGTGGAGGTTTTTTCCCCATTTTTTCATTTGATATGGTAACCAGCTTCTCTCATGCAAAAGGCACAGGCAGGACTTATTACCACGAGGTTATTTTTGACTGCACATTCTCTGGTTGAATTGGACCCTGGTGTTGGTGTGGGGAAGGTGAGCAGGGGACTCCATTTAACTGAGCTGCTAATTGGAAATTGCTGCTGGACCACTCAGGTGCCTGCCTTGGAGACTTCTCTCTGAAGCAAGGAATGACTCCTCTTTGTCAGGCATAAAACTCCTCTCCTGTGGGAATCTCCAATAGTGTTATCTCCAAGGTGTATTCTTCCATTGGTAATCCTCCCAGTTTGTGTCCTGTTGTCCCCATCTGTCCTCACTCATGGGTTTGATCCTTCCCCCCCTTTGTGCCCTGCTCCCTCCCTGGCACCTCAGGTCCTCCAGCCTCTCTCTCCTTTCCTCTGCAGGACACTGCCTGCTCTCTAGAGGTAGCATCCTTGGGGAAATATGGATGTTTAATTTCTTCTGGGCTTTCACTGGAGGGAACAGTCCGTCCTCCTGCAGGGGGAATTTTGGATGGTGTTTTTCTTGCATCCCTTGCCCATTGGCTTCAGTGGGATTTTCCTTGTGAAAGGAAAAGTTTCCATCTTTTCCCTTTTGATGGCTTTTCCATCTCTCTCTCTGTTACAAGCAAAGATTTTAAGCATCCATCACATTGCTGGCCAGTCCTTAAACTCTTCATCCCAGCCTAGGCTGGGATGAGTTTTGTAACCATTTAGTGACCAGAGGAAAGATCCATTGCCCTGTAGGCAAGAAAGTCAGCTGGTGGGATAATCTGTGCCCTGCTGCTGCAGCATGGAACCTCCTGATGGGACAGGACCAGGCACTGCCACACTGCTGAAAAATGCTGAGGAATATTGGGAGAGCCACCCCTGAACAAGGAGAAACACAACAAGGTGAAAAATGATGTCTGTTTTCCAAGTGGGCAGGGAAAGGCTGACTTCTGGTGCTGTAAAATGTTGGGGTTATGGGTGACAAAAAAGTACAGGGCTGTGCTGCTCTGGCTGCAGACCCCTTGTATAAACTGCTGATTTAAATGGGTGTCTCCACTAAAAGGGCTGAGCAGGGGTCTGAACTCAGAGCAGACTGTGTCTCTCCTTAAATTGGTACTTCGCCTGCAAGAGCACTGATATTGTGTTAATCAAACATTCATTAAAAGCCTCCATTGCTGCATAATGAAGGTGTAATAAATAAAGATGCTATTATACAGCTGCAAAAAAAAAAACAAACCCATGTTTTCAATAATTAGCTGGTGTTTCATTAGCGCAATTATCACTTAGGAGCTGAAGCAAGCTCTGTTCGAAACACTTAATTTAAAGAGTGTAAGGCTGGTTCCTTCAAAGGGCTTCTTTCTACCTGAGATCTCCCAGTTTCTCCCTGTGCTGAGTGGAATGGATCCAGTGCCTGGCCACACACTGCCCTCCTCCCCGTTCCCCTCTGCTTCCCTGCCTCTTCTCCTGTGTTTTTTGATTCCCCACTCAGTCCTGCTTTTGAAACTGAAAATTGAACCCCACCTTCCCCTTCCTCCCTCTTCCCTCCCCACATTTCTCCTTCAGGAGATCTCCAAGCGAGAAGAAGCGAGTGGGCAGTTAAGCTGTATTCAGCTGCCTGTCAACTCGTCGGGGGTACGTACAGCACATCCCACCACCACTGTGCTTGTCTCTCTCATGGTGCCTGGTCACACACTGTGGTGCTGTTCTCATCGTAGTAGCTGTCATTCTTTTGAGGTCTATTTGGGTGTTTTGGAAGTGTTTTTTTGGTTTTTCTTTTCTTTTCTTTTTTTTTTTGTCACCCTCATTGTTGAGTCAGCCCTGATTTTAAGTCCCTTCCTTCTTTGAGGGACCCAGCTAAATTAAGGTGGGTGCTTCCAAGTGGCTGATGTGGCTCCAGCCAACAGCACTTGCTGACCCTGTTCTGGATGCCTGCCTTGGGGAAGGCTCCCCAAGGGGCTGTCACAGCCTCTCCAAGGCACAGTCCTGTCCCAGGGACCTCCCTGGGGCTGTGGATGGTGATGCTGATTGCAGGGCACACCTGCCAAGGCTCCCTCATGCAGGCAGGGGAGGATGCCCAGGAGTGAAGGGACCTGGAATCAAACCTGTTTTGATAGGTGTGTGTGTGTTGATGTGTGTGTGGGAGTCCTGTGCTCTGCAAGGCAGGGTAGGACAGCAGCAGTTACCCTGTGGTATGTCCCAGAAAGGCTGGTGGGAATGCTGAGACTGCTGGCACGATGCCACACGACAGGATGTGAAATTGTCCCGTTCAGGTCTGAAGAAGCCGCGGATCTCCGAAGCACAGCACACCACAAACCTCACCCTTCTGCCAAACTCATCTCTCTCTTTACCACTCACTTCCCTTTCTGTCCTTTCCAAGAAGCCTGGCTTTTCCCTCAGCCCAAAAGCCCTTTCCCCTCATATCCCAGTGTGTCAGTCCCTTTTGGTACACGCTGGTTTAGTCACTGTACTGCCTGGTCCAGCTTGGCATACTCTCATTTCCCAAAAGGATTTTAACTCCCTGTTCTCTCATAACCCCTTTTCTATCCAGAAAGGCAAACTGGGAGTACAAGAACAGGTAACGGGGCAGCAGCAGCGGCTACGAGATGTTTGCCTGCACCGTCCTGAGTCTGGCACGTGGTGTTTGGGAGGGGATGCTCACTGCCCTCCAGACATGGGGTTTGGTGCTGGGGAAGGGGGTGGGAAGTTCCCACATAGCTCTGCTCTCCCCTCTCGGCACACGTCTCATTGTGCCCCCTTAAAACTTCCTTAGGGCTGTTGAAGAGCACTCCAGGAATACAAATCACGTAAAATTCTTCCCTGTATTTATTTCTTTTTAGTAACCCATTAGGGAGAATGAGTAATTCCTGGCAGGCCTGCTGACAGGCTGAGCTGGGAGCCTCTGTGGGGAGTGTACCTGGAGCCAGCTGGAGGCCCTGCTCACACAGAGATTGGATCTGACTCCAGGAAAGCTCAGGCCAGCCTGACTTTACTGCTCTCCCTTGCAAGGTGCATTCCTGAACTTCTCAGACTGCGTGCTGCAGGAGCTTCCCTGAAAAGCACAGAAGTCCTGGATCCTCAGGAGGGGAAATTTTGAGTCAACACTTCACATCACACTCTCTTTTGCCTTAAAAATATCTCTGAGTATCCAGCCTGCCTGCAAAAAAATAGCTTTATAGTTTAGTAACCCCACACTAAATAGGTGGAGGGGGAATATTGGGGCTCATCCCTCTGGGATTTTGCACAATAATGAGGTGTGGGGCACTGATCTGTGTTGGATTAAACTCTTCCTCCTGTCCCATGCTGGGGTCCTGAGATTTTACAGTCAATGAGTACCCTAGCACCAAACCTCAGCAGTGCTGGCCAGGGCTCCTGCAGAAGCAGCTTAGCCTTGGTGGGGTTTTCTGGGGCTCCTGGGCTCTCACTGCTAAAGTGAGGATCTGCTTGGCTTCTCCCATCCCAGCATCTTTCCCCCTTTCCTACCTCTTCTCCATTGTGACAGGGCTTGGTGCCCTTTGCCAGAGCAGTGGTTTCAGCCATGAATCCTCCTCGTTTTGGATGGGTATCGATGGTTCTGGCGAGCACCTCTGCCCCTCTTAGGTGTATCCTGACTATACCACACCCTAAGCGCCTTTCTGCAGTGCCAATGGACAGAACCAGGGTCTGTGCCACAAGACCCAGCAAGAACCCAGGCACCACACAGAGAACAATGGTCAACATCATCTTCCTCTGCCTGAGGATGGATGCCTGTCAGAGCAGGCAGGCCTCGCTCAACCACTGACCTTCAAAATGATACAGCAGAATTTAAACTCCCCAAATGAGCCAGTGTAAATCTCCAAAACTCTTGCTCCTCTTGTGTGTGGTAGCTGGGAGGGAAAGGGTTCCTCGTGGCAGTGGATGTTGGGTTCTGCCACCTGGATCCCCTCTATGCTGATGCAGCATCCATAGACACATCACGTTTGTCACATTGGAAATTCGGGGTCTGTTGTGCCCTTTCTGAACCCTGGATTGCTCCATCAAGGCATCACTAAAAACAGCCACACTCAGCCAGTTTTAGGTGTATTAATTCAGAGACAGTAGGATCATCCTTTGTCCCCAAATTGATCATCAATATCAGTCCTTCCCTAACATCTGCCACGTATGCAATTCCAGCAGCAAAAATTAAGCCAGAGTTTGTTTTTTTCTCCTGATCCCTTTCTGGGACCGTGTTTGGAGACAGAGGCAATCCGTCTTCCTGGTAGGAGGTTAATTAGTCTGTGGTATAAACCTGTGCATGCGTCATTTTGTGGAAGATGATGTTGCATCGTGGTACGAAGTTCAGTGGATCTGTAAGGTGTGGTGTTGGACACGGGAATCCGTATTTGAGAGGGCTGTTCATGCACTGTGGCCCCTCAGCCTCCTTGCTGAAGCCTTCTGTTTTGCTCCAGGGTGATGCTTCCAAGTCTGATTCCGAGGGGGATCTCTTCCCCCGCAGCCTGGAAGAGGAGGGAGAACTTAAGAAAAACTTGTCAAATCCAGCCTGTGAGTAATAACCCTGGGAAGACAGACCCTTCCACAGAAACCTTGCTTTGCTGTGAAAACAGTGTGTCGGAAAGGAAAAAAAACCCTCCTAGAGGGAATGCTGTAGTCCCAGTTGTGTCATGCATGACTTTGCAGCAGGTTTGGGGTGGGACTGTGGGATGCAGGCAGGGAGAGACATGATTGCATTCGAACTGTTAATTTCCCCATCAAGCCCCAGGTCTGGGGCTGTCTCTGCTGGAGGAGTTTGGAGAAGGACGATGGAGGGAGCGGGCAGGAAATTCCCAGGGTTGGAGCCAGTGGGTGGTGATTGGAGGTTGAAGGGCAGCAGGTGACATTTTTGGGTGTTCTCTCCTCTGCCATTGATACCTGATCCCATTGACACCTGGTTCCATTCCTGTTTGACGACCCAATTCTCCAGAAAGGCTTGTTTGCCCCCATCTCCCTGACACTCAGAGCAGAGCCCTACCTGCACAGCAGCTGTGCCTGCCCATGAGCAGGCTGTAGGTGTTCCCCCTCGAGGTGTTCCCCCTAAACCCCGTTCGTCTCTTCCAGTGATGGCCTTGAGCGACCACCCGGAGCTGAAGACGAGTCTGACGCCTCCGCTCATCATCCACACGGCCGCTACGCCCATGCCCATGCCGAAGAACGCCGTGTTCGGGGATGGAGCACAGGGCTACGAGTCCCGCCGGGCCAGCGGTGTCTCCACGGAGCCCGTGGCCACCTACGAGCTCAAGTCCCCGGTACTCGCATCACCTCTCCCCGCGGGTGTTCAGCGCATCCCTGGGGGCTGTCCGTCCATCCGCCGGCCTGGGGCTGGTGGCACAGATCTGATGCTGTCCCTGTCCTTCCCACAGCCCAGCACCCGCAGCTCCCCGCACAGCCCCTGGCGTGCCAGCAGCTCCTGGAACAGCCGCCGCTCCAGCTGGAACAGCATCGGCCGGGCCCCCAGCCTCAAGCGCCGGGGACAGAGCGGCGAGCGCCGGTCGCTCCTGTCGGGGGAAGGCAACGAGAGCTCGGAGGAAGGGGACAGCTCGGATGAGGAGCACTCCAGCCGGGCCGGCAGCTTCAATGGCTCTTTGCCTCACCGCATGGAGTCTCTGGAAACAAAAGGGTCCTTTGACCTGCAGGATACTTTGCAGGTGCCTTCCCTGCACCGCACCAGCAGCATGCACAGCACCAGGACGTCTGTCTCCGAGCACCAGGACTGCAATGGCAGGAGCTCCCCGGGTCTGCTGCTGCGCCAGCTCCACCTGGATGAGCCCCACCAGGATGGGGATGACGGCGATGATGAAGGCAACATGGTAAGGAAAGCACCGCGTGCTCGTTTTGGGCTTCATGACTTGTCCAAACAAAGCTTGTCACGGTCTCAGGAGTGCACAAGTGGGTGCAAAAGGGGTTATGTTTCACCATCACTACCAGACCAGTCACCCAGAAGGTCTCTAGGCAGTGGATGCTCTCAGAAATGGGATTGGTATCCAAGTATTACAGTGCAGTATCAGATGGCTCATGATGGAGATGTCAGGGCAAAACTGCCCAGGTTCCACTAAATCATGCAGAGTGATGACTATTAGAAATATATGCTTTTCTGGAATGCTTTTTTTTTTTTTCTTTGTTTTGTTTGTTGTTTTTGTGTGTGTGTTATTGCTTTTTAAAGCAAAACAAGTAAGTCTCCTTGCTTTGCAATTGTTATTCAGTTTTCTGCCCCCATACCAGCAGCAGAAAACTTTTATAGGAAAAGAAAGCATGGCTTGGTCCCCCATTCCCATGGCAGAATTAATCCCATGGAGATGATGGTAATTTCAGAGGCTCTGCATTAATTTATATCTGAAGAGGCATTTCACTGATGAGTGTCTCTTTCACAGACCTGAAAAGTGTCATTTAGGAAATAGAAGCTGAAAGGACTGCAAGTGTAGGGAAGGGATGAGGGTTCCTGGTCCTTGTTTCACATGGATGTTTGTATCTTAAAGGGGAAAAAAGGGAATCTGGCTGCTTTTCCAAAGTTGTTTGCATGACTGGCAGAGTGGGGCTTGAGCTGGGCGTGAGGGTGTCGCAGTTCCGGCTGTCATGTGTGCATTGGGGCAAGTTTTGGAGTGTTTCCTGCTCTTTCCAGATTATCTCTTTGTTTGATTGTACCTTGTTCTGAGATTTAAAAGTGTGATGTTCTGATGTGTCATCCCCAGGGGTGACTGTTTCTCTTAGGGGAGCAGATGGGGTTAGTAAGCGGGGGCTGTTCTGAGAACAGGAAAGCTGCAGATTGTGGACATGATTTTAGTCTTTTTCACTGAGTTTATTGAATGAAAATGGAATTGGGATCATGTGAAGGGATGCAAAAGGTGGCATTGACTCCAGAGTCCTCTGTTCCTTACAGGAGGAGAAGCAGAGTTAGTGTTGGCAGAACACACTCAGCCATGAATGGCCTTTGGAAAAAGCCATTATCCCATTACATCTCCAGCATGGATCCTCAGCCTGGGATTTTTACTCATTGTCTTAACCTTCTTTTTAACTTCCATAAAATAAATTGAATTTTTAAGAAAAGGAGCAGTAATTATTTTTTGAAAAAATCCCCCTATTAAAAGTGTTGAAGAGACCATGCTCTTTATTGCTAGCTAGGGATTTTTTTTCCTCATGCTCCAACATCTGCTGCTTTTCCAGCTCACCTGATCCAACCATCCCACCAGTCCCTTCCTTTTTACCCCCCAGGATCAAAAGCCAGCAGTCCCCCTTGTGCTGGGTGTGGTGTGATGTGTCCCTCCACTCCCAGCCAGTGCTGACAATGAGTTGAATCAGATTTTTTAATTTAATCATCTGCTTTTAGCATAAACCAAACATCATCCTCTGTGTACTGAGGCCATGGAGAGTGTAATCACCTCAATACCCTCCCATGGAATGGTCAGAAGCAAATGCCAAGGGGAAGAATTGACAGAACAGGGGAAATAAATTGTCCCAGCCCAGGGGATAGCCACAGCTGGGATATGTGCAGCTGGCTGGTGCCTTCCCCGTGCACTGAAATATGTCTCCACTGCAAATCACTAAACCAGATGGATAGAAAAATATTGCTTAGATTAGCAAAATGAGCCCCCAGATTGCAGGGCTCCACTCCTCACATTTGGGGGGAATCTTTGCTCCTAAATTAGACAAAGTCAGGAGGAAAAAAAAAAAATTGAATTTTAAATGGAAAAAAATTAAATACAAAACTCCCCATCAACAAAAGAAGAGAAGAATTTGCCTATTACTCAGATCAAAGTAATCCTAAATATGCTGTTCTGCATCAAAGCTTTGCATCCCTCCTTGCTGCCTGGATTTGATTGTCTCTGTGCAGAAATTAAAGGAAGAGCAAAGGCTTCATGTGGATTTCCCAGGCTACCCCTATATTAGTGCAGCTCTGCTGCCTTCGATGAGTTTATTCTGAATTTCCATCCCTCTGAGGGGCCAGAATCAGGCCCCTGACAGCTTCTCTCCCCAGAACCAGGAAGCCAGGGGGGCTGAAATCTGTTTTTTATTGCATTACTGCAGACAAGGAGTCTCTCACAGAGAGAATGATCCACAGCTTTCTTGGGTACACATGGCTGTGATTGGCATCAGGGATCTGCTGCCAGGTCTTTGTTGTTTCCAACTGCTGGATTTTAGACACTTTTGGGCACTTTCTACCCAAATTTCTCAGTGCTCATAGCAGGAAGAAAGGGAAATATTGAATATGCAACCAATATGTCCCCTCCCCTCCCCAAAACCTCACTGCATTTTACTATTGCAGCCCCTTTCCCCTTGCATATTCCACTTTTTCTCTGTGGCTTGTGGTCCAGCCACTCACAAACCCTCTCAGCCTGTCCCTGTTGCATATTAAAATTAAATAATTGAGTCCTGAGTGCCTCTGTGCAGCTTCCAGCTTGCCTGGAGGTCCTCTGCTGCTCACAGAGCATTTTTCAGCAGTTCCCCCATCCTCATAATAAATCTTGTATAAATCTAAGCCTCTCCCTTACTCTGAGGAGTGCATCAGTCATCTTTTATTGCCCACTGCCTTCATCCTACCCTCAGAAGTGCATTAATATCTGAAATTCCTAAAAATAATAATTTAAACCCCAGCTATTTATCAGCAGCTCTCATTGCTGTGGGATTGAGGGGCTCCATTCCCACTGCTGCCTGTTAGCACCCAGCATCTTCCCACGTCCTGGCTCCTGCTGCCTTCAGTGAGGGATTTGGAAGGGCTTACCCAGGGAGATTTTGTCCAAGTCACTGGCAACTGAATTAAAGATTGGTTTTCTTCTCCCCTCATGTCTTTATTCATCCTGTGCAGGTGTGGTTTATGAACAAATAGATGTGATTTCAGCCTCATAACTGATATCTCACTTGGAACATAATGCAAGTTTGAGCAGCAATCAGCCCCATTTTCAGCTTGGACCTGGTCTGGACCTCTCTGGGAAAGCCTTGGATGGGGCTGAGGCTGGAAACACTTGAGCTTTATTTCAAAAACACAAACACCTTACCTTTGGCTCAAATTAACTGAACTCTGCTGTTCCACTGGTGGAAATATGGAGTAATTCCTCTGAGTTTAGGTTTCTGGGGATGTACTTCTGCCTCCTTTGAGCAGCCAGACTGCAGCTCCAGTTCAGCCCTGGTGCTCACCCTTACTGTAACCCACTGAATAGAGACATGATGGAAGATCACTTTTTGGCTTTGTTATTTGATTTAGCCCATGAACTGCAAGTTGCAACAATTAGCCAAACCCCAAAATATCTTTGGCATTAAAATTGAACAAAAGGAATATAAAGAAGCATTCTGTGCTGCTGACGTATTACCATTCACTACAAATCCCCTTGATAAATACCAGAACTGCTTTGAATAATAGATACTTCTGGAAACCTTCCAGCTCACAAGATGAACTGGACTGAGTTGTAGCTATTATTCCATGTCCAGAGGCTAGGGTAGCAATCAAAAAGTCACAGCTTTGAGCAGACTCCTGATTTTTATCCATTTATTTACCTTTGTAAAATCTGTTAGTAATTTGACTAACCAGGCTGCTTGAAGAGCTAATGCAACCCCAAGGATGCATGCTCTATTAAATATAGTTTGGAGAGAAGGAAGAAGTTCTGACTCCTTGCCTGAAGCTGGGGAAGGGATGTGAGAACATCCAAGACAACCAAAACCCCACTGGTGTGTGGTGCATGGCCTGTGTGTGTAGAAGTTGAGGGAAGGATGGATGGCTGAAGGAGCAGGGTAGAAAGCTCTCACTCTTCTTTTTGTTATTCAAACATTTCTTCTTACTTGCCCAAGATGATTTTCATTTTCTGAAGGGTTCAGGTTGTCACCAAGGGCTTTCATTAAAACAAGCACTACACTAGTTATTCCCCATCATTAATGAGACTCCAGGCTGGGTGACTGTAGGAAGAGAAAACACTGCCTCCACTCCACTCAATTGCCCTAACAAATCCCATTTTTACAGTCCAGACTGCTTCAAGTGCTAACAGTTTGCCTCAAAAGGAATCATCCCTCCCTTTTTCCAAGAGGCAACAAATAAAAGTGCCTTAGTCCTGGAGCGTGGGTGCTCCTGAGGTGTGAGGGTGATTCCTGTACTGTCCTTCACACCTCTCTGTGTCCTCATGGCCCTTAACTCTCTAGAAGAAGCTTCAAAGAGCTCATACATTCATATTTCCAGGTCTGCCCATCCAAGCCCAGGTGGCAGCAGAGAAATAAGGCTTATGAAAGAGCAAGAATTGTTTTTTCTGTATCTGCAGAGCACTCTGGTTACAGTGCACACACCTGTCTGTGCATTTATCTTCTGGTGCTCTGATGTGGAAGGGCTGGGGGAGCCCTGGTGTGGTGAGCAAGGTGTTGGCCTGGCTTTTAAGGGTTGCCTATGCACAGGGTGCCAACACTGCTTTGCCAGTGGGATTAAAGATTTTCCTTTGGAGGTCTATGGATGAGAAGGTGAGAAACAAGTCAGAAGTTGCAGCCTGGATGAGGCTTCCCCTCAGCATCCAATTTTTGATGTCTTTGGTTGACTTGTTGGCTCAGGCTTTTGCAGTCTGCCCTCCTGAACTGACCTTGCAGGCAGTCTATAACATAAGTATGCATGGCTGAGGATGTGCTGTGGTTTCAAGCAGGAATTAATTTGCAGGAATTGGATGGCCCATGTTCATGCAGCTCAGGCTGACCTTAGTGTTCCCTTCTGGCTTTGTAATCTCATCCTGAATGGAAGGCAGACAATCACCATTGTGTTCCTGGACCAAAACTTGGGCCTCAAATGATTTTTTCAGCTTTCTGCTGGTGCATGGGCACAGGGCTTGGCCCAACAAGCAGCAGGAATCCTTCCCTCTGCTCCCTTTATAACCTTTGACATAAGCATTCTGTATTTTAAAAAAAACAAACAAACAACAATACCCCACAAAAAAATCCCTAAAATACCTTAGAAGATTCAGGCAAGCACCTGATGAGTATTTGGAGGGACTGAGTGGGTTATCATTCCTTTGGACAAGGATTTTGTTTGTCCTCTTTGATAACTGTGTGCCAGATGCAGTTACCACACAGAGAAAGAAGCAAGGCCGAGCTCACAGGGCTGGCACAGCCCTCATTTGGCTGCCAGAGCTCCTTCCCCTGCCCAGCAAGGTCTTCTTTGGGGACATTCTTTTATTTCAGTTTCACTGAGCACTTGAAGATAAGTTTTTAGTGAAAAGCTGCCTTCACGTGGAAGTTTTGGGGGGTTTGTTTTAATGGTTGTGTGTTTTCCTCCCGCTCTGTACGTTTTCCCTGCAGAGCAAAAGGGACCGCATGAAGGCCTGGGTGCAGGCCCGGCTCCCCACCTGCTGCAAAGAGAGGGACTCCTGGTCCATCTACATCTTCCCCCCTCACTCCAGGTAAGGCTGAGCCCTCGGGCAGTGGTGGTGTGGTAGGATGGGTGGTAATGATGCCCTCGTTACAATGGTTCATCTGCCTGTTTATCCCATATGGGTCTCTGTGTGCCAATCCACAAAACTCCCAGCCCTTCCCCTGCCCCAGCATGACATCAGGGTTGAACAGCAAGCAGTTGCTGGCTGCAGAGAGCACAGGAGTATCCAGTCAAGACCCATAGCCCAGGGTGTGGCTGCAGCTTCATCAGGTTCATTTCCTTTGGCAGTGATGGTCTGCACGTTTTTCACTTTTTGGTGGAGTATGATGAGCTTGGAGCAAGGGAGAGAGGTGCAGCATCAAGCAGAAAAATCTGAATTTGCCCCACCACATGCTTACAGCCCAGCAAAGGATTCCCAGACCTCCTCAGCCTGCCTCTCCACTGAACTTCTCTGTCCTCCCCCTTCCCTTTCTCTGAGAGAACACCCTCTCCTTGCTTGGAGGCCCCTGGCTCTGCCCTTGCCTGGCCGTGTGGAGCCAGCTGAGCTCTGTGCTGCTCCATGCGTTCCTCTGGACACGCACCCGAGGGTTTCCCGTGCTGGAGCTGAGAGCCCTGGACAGCGTTCAGGTTCATTCATACAAAGATTAGAGAGATTTTCAGAAGCAGACTCTGGGAAATGTAATACGGTATTATAAATCCTGAGTCAGTGTACAGCCATCTGTCACAATAAATAGCTTCTGTCCCTTTGTTCCGTGTGTGCTCAACCCTTATGGGCTCACTGGGAGTATTTCTGCCTTTATTTAAGCTAAACCTGAGCACCAGGAACCAGTTAGGGGAGCAGATCCAAACCTGGCTGTGTGTCCAAGTCGTGGAAGCAGCTGCCCCGTTCCAAGTGACCAAAGTCCCCTACGAACATTCCCAGGGCTTGAAATTTGTGGCTCAGTTCCGTAGCTCAGATCCCTTTCTGTTCCAAACCCAATCTGCCCTCAGTGTGTGGCTCTGCCAGGGAGAGGATTGGGAGATTGGAGCTCATCTGCTTTGACAGCAGAGTGCTCAATTCCCCTGCTATGCGTTGAGCTGCTGTGTGTCGCCCCAGCCAGTTGAGCATTAATAGCTAGTCTGTGTCTACTCTTTTTTTTTTCCTCTCTTGACAGATTCCGTCTGATGTGCAATAAAATCATCACTCACAAGATGTTTGATCACGTTGTCTTGGTGATCATTTTCCTGAACTGCATCACCATTGCCATGGAACGACCCAAAATTGAGCCTCACAGCGCTGTGAGTTCCTGAGGTTTTCCTGTGCTCTTCATGGAGCAAACACCTGTGGCTTGGACCCAACTGCTGTGCACTCAGTCTTGTTTTCTTTGTCTTTTTAAAATGAGAAGGTGTCAACACCTCCTGAGTGTCCTTTGAATTAAGTGCAGCAACTCTCCTGGCCCCTACTCAGTCTCCTTTCAAAGCACAAGAGTGCAGATCGTGGCCTGTGATATATCCAAGATCTCATTTCTGGAAGCACAATCAAGGTTTTAACACATGACATAGCATGACATCTGTCTCAGTTTCCTTCCCTGAGAAACCTTCAAACACTTTTCCTCTCTCAACACAACGTTCACTTCTTCCATCTGTTCCCACAGGCACATATGTGTGGTGTGAATGGAATGGGGGAAACTGTTCATTTCATACTCTTCTCTCCCCTTTGTGTATCAGCTTTGTTGTGACACCAGAAAAACTGAATTGATGCAGGCACTGCAATGCCAGTTCTTGGAACCTCTTTGTTCTAATACTCTGTGTAAGGATTCCTCAAACTAGACCCTCACAGCATCAGCATCCAGCAATCAGAGGGGCAGAACCATCCTACTGATCTTTTGTTTTAGCATAGATTTGGGCTGAGATGTGCTGGGCTCTGGCTGATTTATTGCCCAAGACTGCTCATATCACAATCATATAGAATCCTGTTTTGTTGATGTAGGCGTGTCAGGCTGTTCACTTTCGTGGATTTTCAATGTAAGACCTTAAAACTGGAGTCTAGGCTGCTTTCTGCCTATTTTAAACATTCCCTAGTATTCCTTCTTACTGTAACAGTTTTCCCACCAGTCCTTTCCCTAAATCCAATTTTTTTTTTCAGTTCCCATGCAGTCGTGCACCAACTCGCAGCTGCAAGAAGAGAGCAGGGCTCCCTGCCAGCTGATGTAGCAGGAGGAGATCACCCTGCTTATCCCCAGATGGGGCACCCTGAAAACTTCCCTGAAAATCCTAAATGCTTCCTTTGAGCCCCTTGCTGTGTCCTCTGAGAGTTACCCCACCCCAAGACTGGCTCCAAAAGGAGCTGCAGGCGCATAGAGAAGGGAAATGGGGTGACAAGTGTGAGTTAGAGGAGTCCACAGCAAAGATCTGTAGCACACAAACCCCGTATTTCATACAGGAGAGGAGGAGCTGTGGTGTCCCCTGGCTGGGAGAATATTGGGAGAATACTAAGAGGAAAGGAGACAGGGACTGGTGTGAGGTTCATCATCTTTAGGTTATAAAAACGGAGCTGGACCGTGGCCTGGAAGCTGAAGAGGAGAAGGGGAGTGCTGAGCAATGGGGCAGGGGATCCAGGAGGGGTGCATGGGCCCTGCCTGTGCAGGTGGAGCTTTCATCTGGAAACAAGAGAATTAGTTTAGGTTGAGTTGTTTAAAATAATTGTTCTTTGCTTCCCTGAGCTGTGGATTTTCTAACTGCTTCAAGTGAGTTCTCTGTCCCTGTCCCAGTTTCAGCTGGCTTATCAGAACAGGGGCTGCTGCTGCGAGCCAGCATGCACTCCCCACTGCAGAGTGCATGACATGGACCAGGGAGATTATCCTTCAAAATAGCCACATGCTTGCCAGGCAGGAATGCAGTATCCTCAGTCTCACCTCCATGCTGTTGGTGTTTTATCTCCAGCTGTACAAGCAGCTCCCTATCCTCTCCCTCCTGCCCAGTGCCTGCCCCTCTACAGCAGCCTTTTGTGTGGCAGATAGCTAACAATAGAGATGTTTCCTATCACAGCTCATGCAATCACAGAACAGGTCTAGGACCTAATTAATTATGGACCCTGTATGGAATCAAGCTACTCTGTGGTTCCTGAGTCACTTCCAGTATATCGTTATCTGGAAAGCAAGAGAGTTGCCAAGGTGTTTTGTTTTGTTTAAATTGCATCTCATTTTGAATGAGAGATCTGCATCTCTTATGGGACTGCTCTGTAGGGAGAGACAGAAATAAATCCAAAATTGTTAAAAGCAGGACTGGGGCCAGTTGTATGTGCTCATATGACGTGCACACACATCATTGTTCCTCCAGCCTCTGTCTTTTGCTGTCCATTTCTCAGTGCAGGGAGTCAGAAGCTATCTAAGCATTAGGGAAAAGTGTAATTTACTTATTAATCGTTATTAAAAAGAAAGGTTTCTGCTAACTATAGGTAGGGAACTAGTCCATGGGTTCATCTGTAATCACTAGCTGTTCTTGCTGGGTGGGCACAGTCTGGTGGATAGTGCAGGGGACTGTGAAATGAGGCTGTTGGGCTTCATACCAGTGTAGCCCGTGGCTTTGGGCAACAGAATTGACCTTTTGGGGGCAGTTCTCAGCTGGAATAAACCCTCAGAGCTTTTCTGGCTTTGCTGGAACTGTGATAACTCAGGCCAGCTGTGCTTCAGCATCCCACGGCTTTTGCTGCTTCACAGCTCTGTCACTCTAATATTGACTTAATTTCTGGGAGAATTGGGAGCTCAGTGACATTTACACGGTGCACTGATGTCTGCAGGTGAGAGGCAGATAGAGATTTGTCAAGCATGTTTCAAGGAGGGCACATCTTCCCGTTTTCACTATGGGGGGGAGGGTGATTTGGGGGAAATTCGGGAGGATTTGGAGGCAAGTGGGAGGGTTTGGGGGTAAGGTGCTGGAGGCTGTCCCTGTCCGTGGTGCTGACACAGAGCCTGGCAGGGCTCAACCATGCAGTGTTATTGTCTAAATATTTGGATTTTCTCCTCTTTGCAAGCAAACAGTCCAAGACTTGTTTCAGCACAGAATCAGGAGAACAGTTTTCCCACCCAAATATGCACTGGGGGATGCACAGCTGCACAGAGCAGGCTATAAAACATTGTCTCTCATTTTCTTTTTCACAGGAACGGATCTTCCTAACTCTCTCCAACTACATCTTTACAGTAATCTTCCTGACTGAGATGACAGTTAAGGTAATTTGAAGGTGGAGGATAAGTGTGTCTGTATTATATTAGTTGTTTTTTATTATGGTGGACTCACAAAACCCTTAGGTCTACCAGCTGCAAGTGAGGTGTAAATTTTCCTCTTCTGGATATTACTGAGATGCCACCACATGCCTTATTCCACGCACGCACATTTTACATCAGAACAATTTCACTCAAGTTGCTCTTGATTTACACCATTATAGGAGCAATGGGATCCTTGAATTCAGCAATCCTGCCCTATTCAGCAAAGGTCTTGAGTACATGCTTAACTTCAACCATGCATGTAAGTCCCATTGTCTTCAACAACCAGTTGACCTCAACAACCTAAGCTGCTGTGTGCTTTCCTGAGGAAAATCCTTTGCTGGATTTGAGGCAGCAGGCTCAGAGACCCATGGCTGTGAATCTCTCCTGTGTAATTCATAATCATCTCACTGAACAATTGTTCTTTCTTTGGAAAAATTTTTCTAGTTTCTTTATTTGCAAAGCTTGTACATGATTGCTTGGATCAGCCACTCTGAACCTTCTCTCCTGCAGTCTATAGGAATAAGATACAATTGAATTTTTTTTATGCCAGAGCTAAAAATGTTAGGAACAGTTTTGTGCAAGTAGATTTATCTGCATTAGAAGTACATCAGCTGTAAGGGACAACCTGGGATGTTTCTGCAGTGATATTTTCATAACTCTATCAATAGAACGCTGCTGTTTTGTCTAATTAGGCTTCTGTACTGGGAAGTAAGCAGACTCGCAGACTGGTGTCTGTAAATAACACATTCTCAGCAGGTTGCTAACTGCAACAAACACTTTGGATGCTACAGTCATAATTTCTTGCAACTTGGTGTCTGGGCAGGTGGTGGCACTAGGCTTGTGTTTTGGGGACAAAGCCTACTTGAAGAGCAGCTGGAATGTGCTGGATGGGGTGCTGGTGCTCATCTCCGTCATCGACATCCTGGTCTCGATGGTGTCGGACAGCGGCACAAAAATCCTGGGGATGCTGCGGGTTCTGAGGCTGCTGAGGACTCTGCGGCCCTTGAGGTAAGCAGAGGCAGGGCAAGACCCAAGGGATGGGGCACGTGTGTGCCAAAGTGCCGAGCATTTGTGCAAGGGAAGGGGCAGGTGAGACAGGGGCACAGATTCTGTCACCAGTGTCATCCCAGCCTCCTGCAGCTCCGCAGACAATGACAGTCCGCACGTCCTGCTCAACTTCCAGAGCTCTGCGCCCTTGCTGTGTTTTGGGACTGGCCCCAAGTGGAATAGGAAACTGATCAATGCCTCTTTTGCCCATTAGAACACACATCCCCTGCTATTTGTGTTCTCATTTGCTCTGTGTAAAGTGCAGCTTAACAGCTTCTTCTCCCCCTTCAGGCAGTCAATGGCTTTCATAACAAAGGAGGAAATTAGTAGCAGGTGGTAGATCATTTTTAAGAGACTCAACTGTTGCTTAACCTAGAATGCAAAGAAGATTTTTTTCCCCAGCTCCCCATTAATTTTAGAGAGACATTTACTTTGAAAATGACCCAGACAAGATGAAAAAAATTGTTCTACTAAGTTGGCCCCTCAACTCTGCCCGTAGGCAGCATCCCCTGCTCCAGGGACAGGCACCACTCTGATGAGAACCTGCCCAAGGACCAACCTCTTCTAAACAGGCATCTGTTTGTGACCTGTACCCTAAGGCATGAAGGTTTCTCTTCATGCTAAATGCAGTTCCTCTTTAATACCATTGTTGCTGCCCCTGTTATGCTGCAGCTAATAAACCCTCCTGCTCAAAGCATCTTTGTGTGCCTGTCATATCTTACTGCTGCTTCCTCCATAAAAAGGTTTGCTTTGAATCAGGATTTTTCTCTTTCAGAACAGAAAAATAGGACCCTGCTTCTGATAGAAGATGTTGTTTTACTACTCCTGTGTGAATAATAAGTTTATAACAATGGCCATGCCTATACATAACTTTCAAATATTCTCAACAGCTATAAAGGACATTCTGTTCAATTGGTCTGTATTTGTGTGTTGTGCCTGGTGAGTTTTAGGATGTGAGCTGCTTTTAATCATTTTTATCTGGACAGATAGCATTGGGGTAGTTCAGCTTCCTCACCACGTAAGTAGATTGTATTCCTATGTGACTCCAATTCAGGCTTTTCTCTCTTTGTGTGGCCCCTGGTATCTCATGTCATCTGCAGTTTCTGGGGTAGTATCTGCCCAGTTGTTGATGGGTAGATTTGCTCTGATCCTCTGTTTCTGCTGATTTTTGACCCTTGTTAAGAAAACCTATAAAATAATCTAGATAGCTCAGAATAAAAGAAGGATTGATTTCTCTTCTCTGAACCATGGAATGCAAGTTTCTCTTTTGATGTTCCATGGTTAAATCAGATTTAAAGAGAGACATTTGGGTTATGCTGATCTCTGCTGGAGTCACCTGTCTGACCTGGTCAAAGCCTGTATTCTTCTTTGTAGATCTGTAGGGCTGTCTGGCCAGGACTTGGGCCTTTTTTAACTGGAGCCTTCCTCTGTAGTCACTTATGTGCATGAATAATCTGCAGTTATGGGTAATAATCCACTCAGTAGCTGCAGGCTGAAGGAAGACCTGCCATCTGAAGCATGTGTGGGATTGGGCTCTTCATTGCTATTGCAATTCTGTTGGTATTTGATTTGTTTTCTCATGAGAGTAAGTGTATGTTTTCAGTCAAAATGCTGCTTTCTACTACAAAGGAAACTTAAAAAAAGACAGCAACAAACCCATTCCCTAAATATGTTCAGAATCAGTTCTGTCCTCCCATTATTAGATTTGTAGGAAATGAAAAAGCAGCCATCAAACTGGGGGCTTTTCAATGAGTCATAAATCTCTGCCCATCTGCCTGGGTGCTGCACATCTGGGCTGCCCTGAGCAGCTCTGCCCACATCTGCCCACATCTGCCTTTGCCACGGGCTCCGTGTGTGGCTCAGGGATCACATCCTCACTGCACAGCCTGGGATGTGTCGCTGCACCAGCGTGGGGTGACAGCTGGGACAAGTCACCTGAGGTCTTTGCACTCTGTGGCTTCTTTACCATGGCTGGGTGAAGTCTCTTGTGCAGGCTGAGCCAGTTTTTCTTCTTTGGGGAGGCATAAGACAGGGTCCAAAAAAGCTCCATTCAGAGGAGCAAACCTGGCTCCTTCTGTCCTCCCTTTCTGAGGACACTCCAGGACAAGGCTGCAGGAGAGAAGCCAAGCCACAGCTGTGTGTGTCACACTCAGCTCAAGGGTAGAGACATCCCTCATCATCTCTGTGTTGGTTTTCCCACTGGATGGCCTGGAAAGGGGATTCTTGCAAAAGATCTCCCTCATTCTGTCTCTGATTTTCTCCTGTGGAAACCACCCCACACACTTCTGCCTAGTCATTAAAAAAAACCTGTATGCTAATCTCAGGGTTTTAATTGCACATTTTATTATCAGCCTCCAAACTGATTCCATGAAGATTCAATCCCAGCTTTATGATCAGAATTCCAAAAGCAAATTCACAGAGGAATGACATTTAAAGATGTTTCCATGACCCTCTGATGTTTCAGCCAGTAAAGGCATTGCTTATACAATAGTATTCCTTCCTAATGCATTCTACCTGCTGTTGTTGGGATCAAGTGTTATAGTTTAAGATAAAAGAGAAATCAAAATTAAAAATGTATTCAGATTTAATGTGGGTGGACTTCCCAGCTGCTTTACTCTCTACAGAGCTCAGGCTTACACTTCTAAAGCACACAGATAAATTATTCACTTTTATACTATCATGGTCTAATAGTAATTTCATAACTCTCTTCTATCTATCTATCATATTATCATCTTTGCTAATTTTCTTTTAATCTGTGGAGGAAGGTCTTTATTAATGTTGATCTGTTGCTTCTTCTAAGTTCTGCTACTTCTTCTGAGAGCTCTCCTCAGGAAGGCTTAATGTTAATAATGGATCCAACTAGGATGATGTTGGCAGTGGTTTGGAGCATCTCACACCAGGGGTTCAACAGCACTGGGAATCCTCAGACCAGAAGAACCAGGGAGAATTAGAGGGATTAACATTTATTCACACCAAAATAAAGAAGGAAGAATGTCTTATTTCAATTTTTCATGTTTGTCATATGCCTAATGCAGAATAGAATTATGCTGAATGGGACTTTGTCAGGTCTCCTCTTCTTGCACAACTGCAGGGCTCCAAATCAGCCACATCCTTCAGCCATAAACTGCAGGGGTGTGGGTCAGATAATCAGATTTTACAAGCCTGATAGCAGCAGGACCTTGGCAGTACTGATGAGGTGTGGGGATGCCATATTTTGACATATTGGGGGTGGTACTAATAACCTGGAAAAGCTGAGAATTTCATTGACACTTAGAGAATTGTCAGACCCTTAGGAGAATATCAGGAATCTTCACACAGACTTGCTTCAGTGTTGGATCAGGCCCTTAGTCTGAGGCAGCTCCAAGGTCTGAAGGTTTCCATTAGTAAGAACTATTATATTTCAAAACCTTTCCAAAGTCTTTTCTCCCTGTAGTGCTGAAAACATCACTGGCATGGAGCTAAACTGGTGTCAGCTTTTACCATAATTCTAATTATTCTAATGCATTCCAATTTGAGGAATTCCCTGGTTGATCAAAACACTTAAAGCAGACAAATGCTACTGTTTTCCAGTCCTCTTTTCCTCAACATGCTCATGACTTGTCAGACAAGTAACCTCTTGTTTTCCCTCTCAGCTGAATACAAAGTAGTACCTCACGGGGGAAATCACTTTATTATTTCTAGAACAACACTTCTTAATAAATGTTGGAGGAATTTATCAACTTTAAACTCTGGAGACTAAATTTCTTCCTTGTTCCCCAAAATTTAAGGATGCTCTAGTAGTTCAGACCATAGACCTTCAGTTTAGAAGACATGGCTTTGGTTCCATCCTGCATGACAGTGGACAGAAGTCCACTCTCCCTAAAGTCAGGATCCCTAAAGGCACCAAAGGTGAGTTGCCTTCTTACCTCTGAGAACGTGACTTGCCCTCCTCCTGTGCCTCGGTTTCCCACCTGTAGTTTGGCAAGTGTTGTGTTTCCTCCAGGACTCTGCAAGGGATGTGAGGGGTGTGGAGGTCTTTAGTCCATCTGAGGAGCTGGAAGAGATGTTCAGCCTCAGCCTGCCCATCCCATGGCTCACTCTGTGCACTCAGACATGGCCTGTTAGGCTGCATTACCCAGCTCACTGAGTTGGGCACACTCAGCTGCTCCTCAGCCCCTCTTTGCTGGGCTGGGCTCAGTTCTTAGCCCCATGGCAGCAACAGCAAGGTCTCCAGGCTGGGCTAATCTCTCTGGGCAGCTTTGGCAGTCCCCACACTTCTCATGGGTTGTGCAGCCTTCTGCTCCTTCAGCCATCTCACCCTCCAGCTTCTTCCCTAAAATATCCAGATCTGAGTGTCAGGAAAACCGAGGTGTCTGAAACAGGGAGCCACAGCAGCCACCTGGCAGATCTGCCCAGAGTGAGGAATATCATCATCTGCTCTTTGTGTTTCACTGGTAAGAGAGTGGATAAAAATACCACCATCTGTTTCTTTCTGAAAGTGCTAACTGATGAGTTACCCTTGACATTTTGAGTAAATATTTAACCAGGAAAAAAAAGGAAATAAGTGTTAGCTTTTCAAGATACAGTTTAAACCCACCAGTTCTGGTAAGAGATGCTGGCCATGCATTGAGCACTGCAGGTCACTCAATTTGCAGGTCCTGGGGAGGAGAGGGATGGTGCAGGCTGGCTGTGGTCTCAGGTGAGGCCACACATGATCAGTGTGAATGTGTCCATGGGGATTTCTGCTGTGAGCACCATGCCCAGGGGAGGAACTCGAGCGGAATTTGGGCTCTGTCCAGTCAGCAAAACTCCAACAGTGCTTCAGGTGGTGGAGCCAGACTTGGGGAGGAATGGGTGAGGTGGTGAGAGGACTCCCATGGTGAAAGAGAGACCCAGGTAGAAACTGGAATGTAGAGAAGTTTGTGGCACATTTGAGAGCCAAGTGTTCAAAGGGGTCACCAGCAGCACCCAGAAACACACAGGCACTTCCCTCCTCCGACTTTCACAGCATTTAACTGCTCCTGACTCGTGAAAGCAGTTTCTATGGCATCAGTACAAACTGATTTACAGAGGTGGTGAAATGCTTCATTCCAGCTGGCAGTTCAAGAGGAAGGAGGCATGTAACCTCTTCAAATGCCTTTCTTGGTCCCCACCTTCAGGTCAGTGAGGCTGAATATCTCGTTCATCTTTCCCAGCATGGTGAGATGGCTTCTCTAAATCACACAAGACTTGTCCTTTCTTTGCAACATTAACCTTGAGAGTATAGTACAGTTTCTGCTTTTTTTTTGCTTTTTTATTCCTTCAGTCATGAAGTCCACATTATTCTTCTTCAACTTTTTGATGTGATCTAATCTTGTGCTATGAAATTCCATGTGATACCAGAGAGGAGCTACAGAAATTAGGTTAAATGCTTCTGGTGCTGCCAGTGAAGATTCACCTGGAGGACAGCAGTGTTTTAGAGCTGAGGCTGTACAGTGGGTATAAAGCAGAAATTGTGGTGGTCTGAGGGCGTAACTCAGGTCTCTGTACACAGCAGCACTCTAAGTACACAACAGATTATTTTTTAAGATGAGAGTGGTGAAAACAATGGCACAGGTTGCCCAGAGAAGTGATAGATGTCCCATCTCTGTAAAAATATCAGGGGCTACTGGGAAACCTGATCTAGTAGGAGGTGTCCCTGCTCATTGCAGGGGGTTGGATTAGATGACATTTAAATGTCCCTTCCAACCCAAACCATTCTGTGATTCTGTAATTGCTGCAGATGTGCAGGCAGATGTGTAAGAGTGGCAGCTCCATTTCATGCACTGAGACAAATCAAATGACTTACATAAATCTGTATAGGATGTGACAGTGGGAAGCCTTCTCTTTGTAGTCCTAGACAGGCTACAGACATGAAAGTCTATGTCTGTGGATGGCCCAAGCAAAACAGATGAATTTTCTGGCTTGGCTCCTCGTGTGTTTTCTCCTCCTCCTCTTTATTTATGCAAAGCTGTATAAATTAGACAGAGATCCTTCCCTCCAAGACCTCCATGACTTTACAGGTCAATCTTCCAGAAGTGCTTTTTCCATCATGATTTTTGAGTAACTTGTCATTCTAAAAAATTTTCTAGTGCTATGTTCTTCATATCTTCTATCTTGATAGGAGGCAGACCTGGGCAGGAACAGGACTAAGAACTTTTGTAATTACTTTCCCCTACAGAGTCATTAGTCGAGCCCAAGGACTGAAGCTGGTGGTGGAGACTCTCATGTCATCCTTGAAACCCATTGGGAACATTGTGGTCATCTGCTGTGCCTTTTTCATAATCTTTGGGATCTTGGGAGTTCAGGTGAGTCCTCTGTAAGCCTCAGCACTTACCCCAAAAGTGTAACAAGCCCCAGATTGCCCCAGGTCAGGGTATCTGTGTGCATGGCACGGTGTAAGCCTTTCTGAGCTCAAACTGATGTCAGAATGGATGGGGTGTCTGTGCTCACTGCAGGGAGTTGGACTGGGTGACCTATAAAGGTCCCTTTCAATCCAATCCATTCTGTTATTCTATGATCTCCCCTCCACCTTTTTTTTTTAGTTACAAACTGATGGGGAAATAGAAACTCGAAGCTGAAATAATTGTCTTTTAAACTCCACAGAGACCTTGAACTGGAGATTCATTCAGATTCTGACAGTTTGTGTAACTGAGAGCTTGCAGAAGCAAAGATTTCTGAGTATGTTTCTTGCCAGCTCTGCTGGCAATATCCTCAGTCCCAGGAGTGCAGGAACCTAGGGGAAAAGTGACAGTTTCCAATGCAATTGGTTTCTCATTACCTGGGAAGAAGAGATTGCTTCATATAAATATTCCGATATAACACTTGTTTCTAAAGTTTATCTGATCTGTCATAGCTGTCTTTTGGAAAGCAACTCTATTTGGCTGTGTCTTGGAAAGGTGTCCTATATAATATTTTACACTAACATACTGCTTAAGTAATAAATACAGCATTGAAGATAAACAGGGAAGAAAATCATGCCATCCATAACCACCTCAGCAGCTAGACTGGTTTAGCATTACAGCATAACAGCATCCATACATTTTATTAAACAGATTCATGAAACTAAGCATATCCCATAAAACAATCTAACACTCAGACATGAGAAAATTTATGCCAGACAGCAAAACTTGCAGTATGCTCTTTGAATTTCATCCCTGCTAGCTGTGATGCTTTCCCTGGTGACTTGCAGCTTTATGTTAAATTGTCATGACTATTGATGTAATTCAGTGATACAAGCAAGACTGATCTTATATTCAGGATGCAAAATTCTCAGTTAATATTTATGTCTAATTAGCTGTAAGATGAGTCCAGAGCTATTTTCTATAAAAAGATCATATCTCAAAGTTACAGTTAGTTTTTCCATTTAAATATAAGCTGGGGATCAAACTAGCAGTTTTTAATGCTATTAAAGTCCAGACATCAAAGTTTCTAACAGCATGTCCTCTTAGCAAAACTGTTTTGGTTGTAGAGCTGCCCATGTGTGAATTGTCATTAATAAGATACAAGAAACATGTGGATAAAGCAAGTCCAGTCAGAAACACTGGAGCTTTTCCTTTCAGAAGTGCCAAAATGTGAAGTACTGACAGGGAGCAGTGTTTTTGCAAACTTGGCTTTGTATTTCCACACCCTGTCAATAGCTCTGTTTCTGCTCCCACCTGAGTGGCGTTACAGTCCAGCTCCTGGAGAAGTTATATTTACAGACAATATACTATAACCAGTTATTTGCCTTCCTGCTTAATTAAAACTTTTCTCTGTGAAGACAATATCTCCCCAGTCTGCCTTACCACAGATAGTGTTTCTCCATGGAAATTTCAGGGAATACTTCCTGCATCTAAAAGTTCTGTGGTTGCATTGTGCAGTGATTAACTTTGCATGCCTAGAGACCATCTTCCCTCTGTTGATTTCTGGAGGAAACACAAGGAGTAATGTGTGGGTTTATCTTGTTCACTATTATTTCTACTGTTATTTGTCTAGAACAACAGATCAAACTCCATCAGTGTCTCTTCTCAGTATACCCAGGTGTTGTTTTAAGGAGCCTGGAGAGCAGGCTGCCATTTGCCCCCTCCTTCCCAACAGTAATGTCAATAGCTCCTGTCAGCAAATAAAAGTAGATTTGTTGGCTGTCTCCTGGGCTTTGATACCATCCATCCTGCTAGCATCAATCACCCTGTCTGAAGCAGTAATCATCCCCTGCCACTTTCTGTTCCATGTGTGGGAAGCACCAGGTCTAGAATTAAACACGTTCCTCATGCAGGTATAAATCAGGAGCTGACTCTCCAGGAATTGCATCTCCCCAAGCTTAAACCAAAGGAAATAAGCTCAGGATCAGGTACCCAGCACTGGCTGAGCTTGGCTCCCTCAGCTGTGCACAGGGAACATTTTCAGTGACCCTGCAGACTGCAGACAGCAGGGGCAGAGCACCCAGGATCAGAGAGCAGGACAGGACTGACAGCAGTCTTGATTCAACACAAACATCACCCCCAGGGGCTTGTCTTCCATCTCAAGTGTCCCCTTGTCACCTCCATGGGCAGACACCAGTCCATCACCGGGCCTCTTCGCTGCCACCTTTTCTCTGCTGACAGAGGGCCCCCCTGTCACTTCATTTGCTGTTAACTGGGCTGAGAGTCACCAGAGTTGTTCCACATGTGCTAAGAAGCCATTTGCTGCTCTGGGCTATTGGCTGGGGCTACACTTGAGCTGAAAACTCAGGAGCAAAGGCCTTTAGGCGAGTCTCAAATCACTGAACCAGACAGCTTAATGCATGAGGTGGGTGTCCTAAATGATGTGAAATCATGCATTTGCTCATTAGGTGCATATTATACAGGCTGCTCACTCTTAATAAACTGCATGAATGAGGTCAGATCCCTCAACAGCTCTGGTTGGCGTGGGCTGGGCAGAGAACCCCGGAAAAATGCCCATCACCTGTGTAGAAATCCTGGAGACTGAGCCCTGACACTTCTCTTCTTTGCGTGTTTTGCAGCTTTTCAAAGGCAAGTTTTTTGTCTGCCAGGGGGAGGACACCAGAAACATCACAAATAAATCGGATTGTACAGAAGCAAGCTACAAATGGGTCCGGCACAAGTATAATTTTGATAATCTCGGACAGGTATTAATAGAACGGTAATCTGCTTCTTTGCTCCTTTACCTCCTTGACTTAAAATCTGTGGCTTATTATCCCATGGGATTTTCTTACAGGGCACTGCCAGCCACAGTAAATATTCAGTTCACATACACAGCCTTCTGTCTCTGTAAATCCCAAAGGCAGTGTTTCCAAGCAGGCATACACTTCTTTTTGGAACAGAACAAGCACATGTGGCTTCGTGGAGCACTTAATTGCTTCACTGCTACATAACAAACCAAATATATCTTGCAGAAAGGCTTGTCTAATAGAGCTGGACATTTTCAGCCATCTCTGCAACTCAGCCTTTTTTTAGCAGTGTGGTAAGAATTAATTAGTTGGGAGCAGTAGAGTCCCGAAGGGTGGAAATGAAGCCGCTTTTGTCTTCGGCACTGTGGTTTCCAAATTACTGCTCATTGCTGAACCTGGCATTGGCATTGATAGATTTCACTGCCAAGAGAAATCTTGGTCATCAAAGTGTCCCATTATCAGACAGGTAATGACATTCCTCAGGCAGGAAAGGGCAAAGAGGAGTAAGATGTTACAAGTAAAAGAGGTTTAGTGCCACTGTGCCTAACTTTTTTCCCGTGTATTTCTAGGCCCTGATGTCTCTCTTTGTCCTGGCCTCCAAGGATGGGTGGGTGGATATCATGTACGATGGCTTGGATGCTGTGGGAGTCGACCAGCAGGTACAGGCTGCAGCAGAGCTCTAACAAATCACTTGTCACACATTTTAACTCTTGTTTTGCAAAATACTGTGGGCTACCACACTCAGATGGGGTGATGGGATTAGGATTCAGGGTGGCATTTAATCCAGGTTGTGGGATGTTATGAGTTTAGTAAAAAGTCTGAATTTGTACTCAACACTTTCCCTACAGATTTTGCAACATGACTGGTGTAACTCTTGTTAGGAGAAGTGTATCTATCAAAGAATGGTTTGACTTTTTAAGCAGTTTGGTCATTTCAGGAGAAAAGAAGTGCTTTGTGTAGGTAGAGGTTTGCAGTGAGGGACTTACAGTAGATGCAAAGGATGCTGCTGTCCTCCTCACAGAAGAGAGGTGGTGCTTCTGTCCTCAACACACATTTTAGGAGCATTCAGTTAAAATGTCTCAGAAAACTCTGATTTTCAGGAAGAGCAGAGCAACCTGAGCTGTCTGACAGGGCTGTGAGTTCTGTGGATGGCACAGCTGTATCAGTTTGTCCCCATTCTTCTTTTTGAGGCTCAGTTGAAATTTGCCTTCCTCCACTTTGCAGCCAGTCATGAACTACAATCCATGGATGCTACTCTACTTCATTTCCTTCTTGCTGATTGTGGCCTTCTTCGTCCTCAATATGTTTGTGGGAGTGGTGGTGGAGAATTTCCACAAGTGTCGGCAGCACCAGGAGGAGGAAGAAGCCAAGAGGCGGGAGGAGAAGAGGCTCCGCCGGCTGGAGAAAAAGAGAAGGAGTAAGGAGAAACAGATGGCTGGTCGGTAGTCTTTCCACATCTTTCTGAGTCCTGCTTGACCTTCCACACAATCCCCTCCTTCCCTCCCTGCCTCGTGTCTGCTGATAACTCTTCTCCCAAAAGCATGTCCAGCTATAAAATTTGCATGAAGGAAATAGTGTCATCTTAGGCTGAACAAGGAGCCAAGGAAGCCTTTTTAATGGCTGCATGGTTTGCAATGACCTTTCCATTGGGGGTTATTGAAATTAAAAAATAATAATAATCAGGCCTGGAGCTTCTTGGATAGCAGAGCTCAGTGTTACACAAATAGTGACAACTGCAAAGATCACTAGTGCTGGATGGCATCATAAATCTCAGTCATGAGCACAGCAGCTGATAACTTGATTCACTATTTGGTTTATTACAGTCTTGTAATGTCACAGTGATGTTACCTGTCCCATTTATCAAGCAGGTTTATTTATTGGCACAGTAGCACCACTGCTATTCAAGAATGTAATAAAATAATGGAACCATCTCATTCTAGTAATGCTTTAAAACTCCACAGAGAAACATATCAATGCATTTGCTTGAGAAATACAGATTAGAAGAAAAAAAATGAAACAACCAACCAGCAAGGACAGTAACTAACTAAACAAAACAGTGCTGGTGCAAATTGAACACAACGCTCGACTAGATGTGCAGGAGTGCAGCCCTGCCTGGAGGAGGCTCTTCAGGTGAACAAGGAAAGACCCCACTCCAAGTCTCCAACCTGACATTTGTCTCTTAGTGTCTTTTAATGTAGTTGAATAAGTCAGGAATAAGTTGGAGGTGCTCTTCTTCTTGCATGCTCTCTCTTCTGACTGAACTTTCTCCGTAGCCCTTCCTGTCCATGGCCCTGCACTTTCTCTCCCTGGTCAGTCCACCTCCTGCTCTCTCCCTGCCCTCTTTCACTTCTCTATTTTTGACAGACTTCAGGATTGTTTTAAGAGGCTATCTTATCAGGTGCTTGTTCCCAAAACTGGTGGTATTAAGTCTGTTTTATTTTTTATTAGCCTAAGAGGTGTTTAATAGCTGTTACAGGAATCACAGAACGTTACCACAGCGCTGCCTCTCTCACTTCAGCACTTCCCAACCATTTCTTTTGGTCACATCCTTCAGTCCCATGAGTTTCACAGGTTTTGTAACCACCAGGATGTGTCACACCAGCCCCTGGTCATCAAACTTGGGTTTATGCCAAGAACCTGGTTCCCTCACTGGCCACTCTAAAGGAGGAGGCTTCCCTCAAGAGCACTGGAGGACACATTAGACTGTTCTCAGTTAAGTGGGATACAGATGGAAAGATCTTTTTTTGTTGCTGATTTCTTTGGGTTTGTTTTTTTTTCCCCCTCAAGAAAATGCCTAGAAAGCTCTTTTGCTTAGTCCAAGTTCCCAAGCACAGTTTCAGGCTGATGAGTTAGAAAAGGATTTTAAAGACTGGATAGAACAATCGCTATTTAAAGTTCCAATTTTGGAATGCAGACATTTCTGTACAAGAAAAATAGATGTTTAGTTATTATTAATTATTTTATTTATAATGCTAGAGGAACTAGATGAAGAAAAGATGTAAGTCTGGGCAATTTCCCAGCGGGAAGGAATCACAAACCATCCTTGGAGATACAGTTATTCATTCAGTGCTATGAAATGCCTAATTAAAGAGGCAATAAACAGCTATTTTACTGAGGATCAAATATTGCTGAGTATTCAATTGCCATAAAAACCTTTAAAGAGCAAAGTATGAAGTCCTCCAAATCACTTCAGAACAGTTTTTCCAGTCTGTGCTCAGCAAAACATTGATTTTAATTGACCGTGTCCAGCTTTGCCCTCAGAGGCAGCAGATGTCATTGCTGAACTTTGTTCTGCACAGTGGGAACCTGCACATGAAACCAAGAGTGGGGCTGGAATTGTGCCAGCAACTGCACAGGGGCACAAAGGCACAAAGGGATTCCTTTCAGCTGGGTTTCCTGAGTGATCCCAGATGCCCAGACCAGCTTAGGGATGTCAGCTACAGACTGCCATTGGAATGTGACTAGTGGCATGGTCATTTTCCAGTGACCAGTGCATTTATCCACTCAGGTAGTGTGTTGGTAGTGGCTGGAAGCGTGTGAGGTCTGAGATGTGGGCAGGTGCAGGAGTGGTCACTGTGAGGTATTGCTGTCCCAGCAGGAAGTGCCCCAGATTGTCCTTCAGCAGTGTCTTCTTCATCATCGACTGAGGGGGTTCTTGGGGATGTCTTGGGCTTCCACCTGTGCCCAAGGGAGAAGCACAAGAGCCCTTCCTTTTTCACTTATGCCTGAGCCCACCCTCCACGAGGATCCCACAAGGAAACGCTCCTGGTGGAGACCGCGGAGAGCCCGAGAGCCACAGGAACCTCCGAAGGGGCTGGGGAGTCTTGCCGTGTGTCCTGCCGGGTGATTAATGCCATTTCGTTCTTTTAGATCTAATGCTGGATGATGTATTAATGGAGAGCTCAGCCAGTGCAGTGCAAGGTACTGGGAAGCCGGCACGTCTCGTCCCTCTGAATGGCAGTGCTGTGTCACTAACGGCTGGCCACCGCGCCTGAGGCATCCCACTAAACCATGTGTGTGGTGCAAAGCTCGTTTGCTTCCTCCATGGCACACGCATCTCATCCTGAGCTGCAGGTCTGCAGACCTGCCTCAACACTGACACTTGCAAACCCTTAATTTACTCCTTGATCATCTTATGTTACTCAGTCTTTTTTTTTTTTTTTTTTCCCCCCTCTGGTTTTTGTTAAGACACTGTCAGATTTTTCATGGGTTTGTTTATTTTTTTTCCCCCCCTCCTATTTTTCGGTTCTTTCAGCTTTTTTTTTTTTTTTTCCTGACGAAAATAATGATTGGACTGTGAAATGGGTCCTCTGCTGTTGACTTTAGCTTTCTAATCACCAGCTTAGGAGTCTGAAAAATTTGCAGGTGTGTGTCTTTGGAAAGCTTAGGGAAGATATTTCAATATTTCTTTAGCCCTTGCTTATTGCTTCACCCAGTGCTCCAAGGAGTATCTTTTTCAGCAGGGTAAAATTTAGTATAGGACAGAGCCTCTGCTTCAATAGGGAGCTCAACCCCACACCTGCCCTCACTGTGGACATGGGATTTACTCATTGTGCTGCCCAGCATATAAATTCTGTGTGTTGATTAGGAGTTGTTCAATCCATGAAGCATCTTGTAAATTAAAATAAATAAAGATATCACCTCAAAGCCTTTCCAGGTCCTGGTGGAGACCATCTGGACTCAACACCAATGGGTTCTGAGCTGTCCCTTTTGACCCACAGCTTGCTCACACCTCCCTTTCCCAGCCCCCTTCTCAGGATGATTCTCAGGGCTGCAAATACTTCCCTTGCTCTTTTTATTTTTAGGAGAAGCTTTGATCTGGCAAGCATTTTGTTTAATTCATAACTTAAGAATATTAGCCTGAATATTTAAAGAGGCACCAACATAGAAACAAATATAGCTGTAATTTTCGACAAAAATAATACACCACGAAAATTGTGCCATTAAAACTCTCACCTGTGCACAGGCTCCCACTGCTTGAGATGGGAGCAGGGCTCCATCCATCTCTCTTAGATTGCATGGATCTTTGATTAAATAAAAATAGCCTTTCACTGCAGAGATAACTCAAGGAGAAAGAGGTTCTACCTCGTATTTCTAAGGCCTTGTAGGCAGTTATCACAACATGCTTTAATAAATCCTGAATCTCCTTCCCATTGCCATTCCTGATATTTATATTTCTTTGCTGTGTTTCTTGCTGCTCTTGCTGGGCCTCCTGGCCTCTCCTGTGAAACGGGGACAGAGTGAGGGAGGGGCTCTCACTGGGTTGGGTGAACTGGTTATTTTTTCTTCTTTTTGCTTGATTGTGACTCCTCTCTTGGTCCTACAGAGATGTATTAAGGCTATCTTATTTTATGTTATTTTTAAGGCACTGAACTCAGTCCAAACCTCTCCGTTATCCTGTGCAGGCTCAGAAAGTCTTAGCTCTTAAAATGTGTACAATTGTCAGGTCTGTGCTTTGTGTTTCCTTTTGTTGTCTTTTCTTTGGATCCAGTGGTAGTGAATGTGCCATGCTGCTCTTCAGGCACCAACATGAGGAAATAGAAAGGTTTTATTTCTGAACCTGACTGTTGGGAATTTAGGGAATCAGTCCCCGGGTGCAGTAGATGAACCTCCTGTGGTTCAGTGAGGAATCTGGAGTTGTGACCCAAAGCTTGTCCACATCTCTGCACTTTCAGAGGGCTTCTTCTTTTCTCTTTCTGTGAAGACCAGATGGAAGTGTGTGTGTGTGTGTGTGTGTGTGTGTGTGTGCACATGCACTGCTGCCTGGTGCTTAGTGAGATATTTTATAATTTTATAATTTTCTTTTTTTTTTTCCTCCAAGTCTACATTCTATCACAACTGGAATCTTCACAGTGGAAATAATTTATCATTTTCCATTTCACTTTATTTTTTTTTTTTTAATAAATCCATTCAGTACAATAAAAGCCAAGTAAAACTCTGTGTTTAAATAAAACAAGTTCCTTCAGTGCAAACTACTTTTTAACCTAATAATATTCTTGATACATTTTGTAAATCCAGCTGCGTCATGGGCTCCCTGCTTACTGCTTTGCTGCTGTCCTCCAGATACTCAAACCTGCAAAGGAGTTAATTCCCTTATTACAGGAGGAGGAAGGAGCTGAAGGAGACAGTAATGGAATTGTCCCACTCTTGTGAATTCCAATTTCCTGTGCCCACGCACCTCTGGCTTGAAGTCACCTCGGGGAAAGTGGCAATTTCTCTCTTGACAGGGCTGTATTTGGAGGCAGATGCTCCTTGGGGATATTTTGGAGCTGCATGCCCATCTTGATTCCCCCCCAAAAAAACTGCAGTTCGTGGGAAGAGAGCGGCCCCAGTCCCAGTCCCTGCTGTGCTGGCAGAGACCAGCTGAGCCATGGGAGGCTCTGGGAGCTGGGGTGGCACTGCCCAGCAAACACAGGGGTACCCCAGTGCTGCTCTGCTGGGTGTTGTTTCACAGGTGACATCCCTCAGCCATCAAATGCAATACAGGGATATAAACCCAGCCTGGGATCAGTGAACCCCAAGGGCACCTTGCCTGGGAAAGGTCAGACAGGGATTAGGAATGGGAAATGTTTATCCTGCAACAGCAATGGTCATTTCCTTTCCAACCAAACAGCAGAGAATGGTGGAGAGTTCCCAGCCCTTGTCAAGGGGATCAATTGTAATCCTTCAGCCTGATGCCAAGAGTTGAGCACTCAAGCTTGGGATACAACCTGAGCTGAGAACCCATAGAATGATGAGCTAAAGCCAAGTGCACCTCGGTCCAGGCACTGCTCCTTTTGCCAGCACAGTGGGTCCCCTTGGACCACCATCAGCCAGGGTAAAGGGGCAGGTGGGACCTGCTTAGTCCACCTCCCATCTGGCTACAACATCCCCATCCTAGCTGAGTTAGGAGGAGATTTCTCAGGATCCACTGTCTGAGCCAAGTTTATCCTGTGTAATGGTCTCCAGATTTGACCCACTTCTCCCTCTGTCTTGGCCCAGCCCTGGTGAAGCAGCTTGATTTACACCCTGTTTACCAGCCTGATGTTTCATAGTGGGCTTTTGCTGTATTTCCTCATCTTTTCTCATTCTGCCAATTCCTCTTTGTTGATTTTCTCTCCTCCTCCTTTCTTTAATGCTATGTGTGCCTGGAAGCCACATTAACCTTTCCAGTAATAACCAAGACTAACCCAGAGCTCTTGTTGTTCTTGACACAGTGTATTGTAACAGTACAGTAATGTGGTGTTGTGTTAGTTGTGAAGTTCACCACTTGGAGTTTAACAGATGTCTGTATTTCCCAAGATGTTGGTATTGTTAAGTTCTTTATTGCAATAATTACAAGTGGCACTGTGTCATAGGGGGCACGGGCTTTGCACAGGGTGGAATTATACCAGATCTCAAATTCTCCAAATTCCCCAAATTCCCTGCAGAACTCTGCGGGGTCGAATTAAAGAAACGGTATTTTCACAGTGGTAAAAACTGGTTTATCTGTTCAAAAAGTTCCCTGCCCACCTAGACACAGTGGGGATTTACCCCTAGCCCTCAGGCAGCATGTTAGCCTGTGTGTGGGGTCATCCCACGGGAGCATCCCTACGGCACCACGATGCATGGCTGGCATGGAGACACCGGGGAAGTGAGTGAAGACATGATTTGTAAGCATGGCTTGCCAAATCCCCTCTTAAAAAAAGTTAATGGGGAAGGCTGGAACATTTATCACTGGGAATTTTCAAAGGCTGCAAGGGCATCCATGAGAGCAGCATCCAGAGAGGTTTGGCTGTGGAAACCTGGGTGCTGGGAAAGGTGAACAGGTTGTTTGGGAGGAGGGGGTGCAAGAGAGGAAAAGCCTTTGCAAATATCTGAACAATTAGCAACCCTGCTTATAAGGTCATGGACTGGCTAATCCAGGTGCAAGAGCCCTGCACAGGGAACATTTACAACCTCTGTCTAAATCCTCTCTCTATTCTAACAGCATTGGTGCTATTCTGTAGGATTTGGAATTACCTGTCAGTCAAAGCTGAGAAAATAAAATTGAATTCCAGTGTAATTATTCATAAGTAAACCCATTGCAGGAAAAGTTGACATTTTTCTTTTTTGAATGTGAATTACACATAAATGTAGAAGAAGTAAATGATCCAATTATGATGGTGTTTCTTTCCAAGTTGATAAGTTGGTTCATAAAAATAGGTCCTATTCCTTACCTAATTGTATTCAAACATTTTAGTTAATTTGCTACTCATAATTTAGCATAATGTGATGGAGATATCTTGACTTTATGGAGATTTATGCAGATTCTGAGATATCTGACAAAGTCTTATGAGTGAGTCAGCAACTATTAGTCTGCTTTTTTTCATAAGCACTCAATAGATTCAGCATGAAAATTATAGACCTTTTCATCAATACTCAAGTGCAGATCACCTAAAGCGCACTGCAGATCAGAAAGTGAATATTAATACTGCCTTTCATTTGATGACACTGAAACAGAATTTTGGGCCTTCCAAACCCCTACAGAATAACACTGCTTAGTGTTTTTTCCCCTTTGGTCCCTGGGCTGGAAGGGAAAGGTCTGTCTCTATGGAAAAAAACAAAACTGATTTTTCAGGATCCTGCTATGAAGCAGGGAGCACGTGAAACCATTAAATCTATGGATTTGATTGCAAAGTCATTGGCTATTGACAAAGTGAACTCTATTTCCAGGCAAAATATAATCTTCTAAAATCAGTTTTCCCCCAGGGCAACCCAAACCTGTGCTTACTGGCATCATTTTTGCCCAACTTTTTTTCTTGGACTAATGTACCAAATTGTACATTTGCTCTGGAGTACTAAATTTCAAGCACACAATTCTTACAGCTCAATAATTTTCATAACCAGTTGATCATCTAATTATGAGGGTAATATTATACTCTGACATCTTCAAGACAGCCCTTTCCACTTCAATCTGCATTATAATGCCTCACTGAAAATTGTACTGAATTATATACTCAGCCTTGGCATTTGCTCATTAGAGATTAGGTGAGTAAATGAGTTTATCTCTAGGAACATTTGGGGTCTAAAATCCATGTGTCATCCCCAAGGCAAGAGAGCATGGGACTGAGTTGGGCAGTGAAATCTGTGCATTGATAATCTTGTCTAAAGGGAGGATCATTATTTTCTGATCACTAAAGGCTCATTGATCAGCTTTCCTTGGTATTCTTATGGGCTGTTTTTCTGACAGCCAAAGTATTGAATTCTGTTGTCTCTAAAGTTTATTGCAAAGGACATTATATGTTTGCACTCTTTCAAAGACCACCACAAACTCAATGGCCTATGTTTTCAGGCAATTGTTAGTAAAATCTAACAGCATCTGACCATTAACTGGGTTTTCAGATGCTTTGGGGACTTTTAAGGTCAGCAGAAACAAAAATTTTTGTTTTAATTTAAATTTAACTTAAATTTCCCTACAGAGGAAAATTCTTTTCATCAGCACACTAATCCCAGCTCACCTCATCCCTGATGCCACAAGGCTGAGTATAGAGCATGTCCCACTGAAGATATTTAATGGATGTAAGATGACAGGAGCCCTGCTGTGTATTAAAAATGGTTACATGCCAGCAAGAAAAAAAGGAAATAAAAAAGACAGCATGTTGCTGGGATTGGTGTAGAGTTTATCATCCCTGGAGCTGGAGAGTGAGGGTGCGTTGAGTTGAGAAAGACGCAGAGAAATCCCTTGATTTGCTTCTCGCTCTCCTCCCTGCTGCAGAAGCTCAGTGTAAGCCCTACTACTCGGATTACTCCCGTTTCCGCCTCCTGATCCACCAGATGTGCACCAGCCACTACCTGGATCTGTTCATCACCGGCGTCATCGGCCTCAACGTCATCACCATGGCCATGGAGCACTACCAGCAGCCAAAGGTACTGGGACAGCTGCTGGGGTGGCCAGGGGGGACATGCAGAGCTGGGATGTGCTGCTGGGCAGGGGTAAGGCCAGGGTTTCTGTCAGACCTTTGCCAGTGGAGTGTAGCCATCCTACAACTGGCTCCCAGCTCAATCCAGGGCTTTTTTTTGGGAGACCAAAATGAGACTGGAGTCGGGTTTGCTTGCATTGCTAGATTAGATCATCATTGATATCTTCATTTTACTCAGGTTTCACACCCACCCTCTCACCACACCCACCTCCAAGAAGAAAAAAAAAATAAACAAGATAAAAAGGAAAAAGTATAGAAGAATTTGGAAAATGTGGGTTTTTTTGCAAAGGTTCTTCTAAAACCCCACTGTCCAACAGGACCTAGTTTTCACAGGAATTGACTTCCATGCTGGTCTTTAAAATACATTTTAATATGTTAGTGTGCTTAAGTTCCTGGGTCTTAGTCATCCTGTGAAAATGAAAACAGCCTGTCCTGAGATGTCAAGTCTTTTGTGCATAAGAATGAAATGGAAACAGCTGCCTTTGCCACATAACTTGCACTTACTTTTATTAGCGACTTCCAGAATGAATAAATATAACACACAATAGGAGGAAATATTCTTTAAAATTAGACAGGACTTGAATACTTAATATAAAAAAAACCCCAAACAACAAAAACATGCGACAGGAGCGAGGGGAAATATTCTCTAGTCTATCATAAGCCAAAAGTGAAAGGCAACAAGCCCAGTTTTTTTTTTAGAGTCCAGGTCACCTTTAAATACCCTGGAAGGCTCATTGCATGGTTCAGTCATTTGATGATGAAAAAGGTTGTAGGAGAAGGAGCCAGGGCTGGAGTCACTCTATAGAGTGTGTGTCTTACCACAGTCACTTTGCAGATATATTTTCTCTTCTATTATAAAAATGTTGGGCAGGCTTTTGGTTTTTTATTTTCTTTAGAAAAGTAACATTTTGTCTCTATCCCTCTGTGTGTCTGGGTAGTAGGTCCAAGCTTGGGCTGTGCTGGGATGGCAGCATGGTCAGAGTCATACACATGCTTGAGTCCTGCTGAATCAGGGCCTGGAAACGCCTCTGGTCTGGGTGATGGATGGCTGGGATCCTGAAGATATTTGAAGGCTAAATGTACCAGAGAGATTTATGTCCAAACTAGTGATTTGTTGGTGCTGAAAGGGGTTGGTTTTGGGATATACAGGATGCCCTGGGGATGAGACCCCAGAAGGAGATGCTTCAGCTCCTGGAGAGGCAGGAATCCTACAGTGTGCAGAGAGATGGTTTGAGTAAAGAGCTGCTGGGAAAAATCTGCTTCTGCCAGCTAAATATGCTCATTTGCTGCAGAGCCCAAGTGCCCTGCAGTACAGCAGGGAGACTTGCTCAGAGCCATGGCTTCCTTCAGCAGCTGGGCTTGTGCTTATTCATCAGATGAGGTGGTTGGTGTCCATGGATGCTTGAAGCTAAACTGTAGCACAGAGTGCATGACTTAAATTCCTTTTGCTATGATTTATCGTTCCCTTACACTGCCCTGGACATTGTTATTAGCATCCTGCTTGCCAGCAGGGAGAAAGTCAATGCACATTACTTAAGAGGCCATGAAGGATACTGCTACCACAGTGTTCCTTCATGAGCTAGGCTTTTGGGGGATGAAATCACTTCTGATGTAGCTTAGTGCCTGATTCTGCAAGAGTTGTCCCAGCCGAGGGAAGGGCACCAGAGGAAAATGCAAGGCACTTGCTTCTCCTGGCATGTCATCCCTCTGTCGTGCTCCTTGCCAAAAGCTCAAGGTGAGGAGTAATGGCAGGCTGTCACCAAGGAGCCATTTTGGCCAGCACTTGCACAAATGAACAAGTGGGATGAAGTTCAGCTCTCTGACAAAAGCACTGGAGTTCTTGTGCTGCTGAGACCAGCAAATGCAGCAGCTCTTTCTGCACACCCCAGCGATCCAGCTGGGGCTGTGCTGCTGCTAAAGGGGGAGAGTTGTGCCTTGGGCTTGTGTCAGCCCTTCCTGGGATCTCACCAGCAGGCAGCAAGTGCACTCTGTGAATCCCTGGGACTTTTCCCTGGGACACTTTTCATCAGAGAGGGTCTGTGTTTGAAGCCTTTTAACTGTGATGGGTAAGTGATGACACAAGAGTCAGGTTTGGAGGCAGCAAAGGCCCTCTGCACAACAAGCATCTAACCCCAGTCCTGTGTCCACATCCCAGGTTCTTGACGAAGCCCTGAAGATTTGCAATTACATCTTCACCATTATTTTTGTCCTGGAATCTGTTTTCAAGCTTATTGCCTTCGGGTTTCGCCGCTTCTTCCAAGACAGGTAACAAAAGATCCATTGTGACCACAGGGTCAGCAGCAGGCTCTGTGGAGGGCTGCTCACATTCCATGTCCTGAATTCCCATGCTCTGGCCCATGCTGATATGTGTGAAGGCTTTTTGATGTGACTGGTTGAAGGCTGGGTAGGTGGAGGCTTGGGGTGTAAGCTGGAGGACGGATTGTACAGGCCAAGGAGTGGGATTGAACCATTTTGGCCCTTGGGAGCAGATGAAGCAGGGACAGATCTCCACCAGGCAGCCAGTTCTCACGCCAGTTGCATGTCCATGTAATCAAGAGAACCTGATGAAGTGACAAAAATTATGTCAAGAGAAAGAATCTAGCCCTGAGTGAACATGAAAGAAAGAAAGGACCTCTTTTTTATGCAGATGAGGAGCAGTGGATGACATTATGTCTTTATCTAGATTATCCTCTCTTACCTCAAAAACACAAATTTTATCTCCTTAGTGGATCTTTCTCCCATTTTTGCCTTCTTCAATGTTGATACCAAGAAAAGGGCACTAAGCAGGCCTTCACATGAGCCCTTCAGCAGCCAGTGGATGGATCCATCCCTGTCTCCACATTTTGTGTGTCTGTGCTGGAATTACCACTCTCTCCAGACTGGCACAAATTCTTGGGCTCTTTCCTTCACCCAACACAACTTTTTTACAAGGACTGGCCATGGGTCCTGTTCTGCCCAGGACAGATCTCACATTGAGGTCCACAAGAGTCATGTCTAGAAGTGGCTAGACAGACAACACAGTGTCTCTCCCGAGGTTTGGAGCCTCTGGGTAGAAAACTACCCAGCTTTTGTTCCTCTTTCCCCTCAGTCAAGGTTATCTTTGGAATTGGCTGGTTTTCTAATGAGATTCATTAGTTATGATTTCATAACATCACTGCTTTTGTATAATACCCTCAGAAAAATACTGCAGATTCATTTGAGTGCTCAAAGCATTGAAATGACTGGAATTCGTGTGAAACAAGCTGCTTCTCATTGTCAGCTTCTTAGGAGACGTTAAACTTCACTTTGTATTGTCTCCAGATGGAACCAATTAGATCTGGCAATTGTGCTGCTGTCTATCATGGGCATCACTTTGGAAGAGATCGAGGTGAACGCTTCACTGCCAATTAACCCCACCATTATCCGGATCATGAGGGTTCTCAGGATTGCTCGAGGTGAGAGGGGTGAAGCAGAACTGACTCGAGTTTGAGGTACATGGTCAGCACCAGGAGAGAGTTAAGCATTGGGAAACAGTACTGGGGTATATCCCCATCATGATGTGCATAGTTCTGGCATCAACAGGCTGTAAACAAATAAAAGAACAATGGGGGGAAATACTTGCAAGGAGCCAAAAAGCTGAGCCAACTGACCATGTGTTTCTGCCTTAAGAGGGCTGGAAGGCTGGAAGCTTAGAAATTAAGGAGAAGTAGCTGTGGCAGTAACTCCCAGAGATGTACCTGGGAAAATTGCTCCAGTCAAATCAAAGTTGTCTCTAACAGGGATTAAAGAACACAAGCTTGAGTACATTTGCTTTAAAAGATGAGCATCTAATGAATTTAAATTCCCATGAGGCTTTACATCACACCACTTTGTGACAAAGAATGCCTTGTCACTCTGTATCCATCTGTCCTCTCAGACACATTCCCAAGTCAGGGAGCCAACTTCTTCAGGGCCTGATTTTTCAAAACGTGGAGGCGTCAGGGCCAAATTATGAAGATGTAAAATGTGAGTGCTCAGGCCCTTAATGAAGTACTGCCAGGCCCTCCTGAAGGGTATTGTGCTCTGAGGAATAATTGTTTTGATTACAGCCCACATCTAAGCAGAGAAGGAGCTGGAGGAGAAATTAAGTGTTGCTGTGTCTCAGGAGGGGGGAATAGTGCAGTTTTCTGTGCATTGGATCCCTTTCAGAATTAAAAATACATGCAGCTTCCAATTGGAAATGCAACCTTCTGGAAGAGATGTGTAAATCATTCTTCAGTGAATCATGTATGAAAGTGGGTAGCCTATGGAAGTAGGAAAGTAGCCCCAGGGCTGGGAAAGGAACTGCTCACGATAACCAGAGGAAGGAGATGAGTCCAACACAGATAAAGTGGGGAAGGAAGAGCCAGGCAGAGTGATAACGCTTTCTCCAAGTCTCAGAGTAGGTGATGCTGCTATTCATGGGATTTTGATAGTATCCAGGCAACAGGGAGCTATGTAAAAAGGCCAGGGACTGTAGCAGCTAATGGGGAACACTTGACAAGATTTCGCATTTCTCCTCCTATAATCTGTGCTCCTGGGAGAGGGACTGAGTTTGTGCCTCTCTGCTAATGCTGCCATCACCATACTGCAAATGTGTTTTCCACAGTGCTGAAGTTGCTGAAGATGGCTGTGGGGATGAGGGCCCTCCTGGACACTGTGATGCAAGCACTGCCGCAGGTAACCCACTGCCATATCAAACCAGAGCTCTCTGGCCCACAGCTCATTTCCTATTGCACAGGAATGCTTAATCATTTTATCATTGGAGGATCACATTTCCCTCTCAAAGCACTGAGATACAGTCCTCACGTTGAGGTAATTTTTGCCCTGAAGCAATTTAAGCTTTGGATTAAAGAATACAGCAAGAAACAGGTCTGGAACAAAACAAAAAAAATCAAATGAATCTTCTTTTTTTTGTGTGTGTTTTACCTCCCATTTCTTTTTTCTCTTTTCAGGTGGGGAATCTGGGCCTTCTCTTCATGTTGTTGTTTTTCATATTTGCAGCTCTTGGAGTGGAGTTGTTTGGTGACCTCGGTGAGTCTTCCCGTGCCGGTGGGAGGGGTGGGAATGGTGTGGGAATGGTGTGGGAATGGTGTGGGAATGGTGTGGGAATGGTGTGGGAATGGTGTGGGAATGGGGTGGGAATGGTGTGGGAATGGTGTGGGAATGGGGTGGGAATGGGGTGGGAATGGTGTGGGAATGGTGTGGGATGGGAGTCTCACGGCTGTGCTTGGTGTCACAGAGTGTGATGACACACACCCCTGCGAGGGGCTGGGACGGCATGCCACATTCAGGAACTTTGGGATGGCCTTCCTGACCCTCTTCCGAGTGTCCACAGGAGACAACTGGAATGGGATAATGAAGGTGAGTGTTGAGGTTTTTGTCGGCCAATGTTCTAGATGTGAAATTTCCCAAATCTACTCAGTTTTCACCATGAAAGGAGAACCCATTGCAGACTGAGGTTCATGCTGCAATCTCTTCACATCCCTCCATCTCTTACTTCCATGGTTTAGTTGATAAGTGTTAGGTAATAGGTTGGATCTCCAGGGTCTTTTCCAGCCTGGCTGATTCTGTGATCGTTCCCCTGCTGTTTCCAGGACACGTTGCGTGACTGTGACCAGGAGTCCACCTGTTACAACACCGTCATTTCCCCCATCTACTTCGTCTCCTTCGTGCTCACAGCCCAGTTTGTCCTGGTGAACGTGGTGATCGCTGTGCTCATGAAGCACTTGGAGGAGAGCAACAAGGAGGCAAAGGAGGAGGCAGAGCTCGAAGCAGAACTGGAGATGGAGATGAAGACCATCATCCCCAGCCAGCACAGCCCCTCAGACATCTTTGCGTGGACAGGCACCACCAGTGGAGAGAGACCCGAGAGCCCCCACAGATTCACCAATCCCATGCAAATCAAGGTGGATTCTCAGCTCTCACTAGCTTATCATATGGTGAGAATCTCTATTGGAGGGTGAGGAGGGCTTGATCTGCATTTTTGCTGGGGAAAGACTTGCACGAGTTGGCAATGAAAGAGGTGTGTACCAGATGTCCTGGGCTTGTATTCCCTGCTGTCTGCTGCTGACTCTTGCGTGGTTTGGGAACCAGTGCTGCAGGGGAGACACCCCAGTCAGGTCTCCAGACCACCTTGATGCATCTGTTTGGAGGGAGAGAGTTTTGCAATTTACTCTGGATGTCAGCTCAAGCTACAGAGTTCAGAGCTAGCTCCAAATTTAGTTTAATTCAGAGTTTTGACTGGTCCTTTGTGATAGCAAAATCATGAGCATAATGTGTTTGCTTTTCTAATACAGACCATGAACCACAACATAAAAGAGGAATAAAACTTGGCTAATCTTTGCTTCAGTATTAAATTTGTTTTATGTAACTTCAATTTAAAATTCATCCCCACAGTCAGGCTTGTAAGAAAAGATTCTTTTAACAATAGAATAATCCAGAGGAGACTCAAACCTGAGCTCACCAGAGCTGGTGGCAGAACTCCCACCAGCAGGAGCATGGCTGTAATGTGGGAGCTGCTATGAGCTGCACCACCTCTCCCAAAAGGACAATTTTTGGATGAAGATTCAGTTTGAGGAATGAGAGGTGAGATCAAGCCCCAGACAAGTTCTTTGGGAGGTCATTGAACTGAAATTACTCAGGAAATACAGTCCAGCCTTTTTTTAGTCTTAGCTGATTGCAAATTGGGTTAAACTCTATGCAGACCTCATTAACTTTTATTACATCTTGATTTCACAACAGCATATCTTGGCCTCAGCCTGGGGTGGACTAACGCGTATTTTAATGCATGAAAAACTCATTTGTGATCTTTAGTCCAAGGGTGACAGAGAGTAAATCCCTGCTTAAGCTTTGTTTCAGTTCCTAAGCTACTGGAAATTTCTGGTGCCATTAAAATCTCTGATGTCTGAGATGGAGTCCAAAGCTGCTCTTTGGCTCAGGAAAAAGGAGTTCAGGGCACGTGGGGAAATACAGATTTACTATGTCCTCTAGGAAGAAACAACACACCCCAGCTGGTGCTGTATGTGTTGAGCAGAGTACTGGCAAACTGTCCTCAGCCCTGCTGTCCTGTACCAGGACTGAAACTGGCAAAAAAGAGAAATTGCAAAACTGTGAGACAAATCAGTCAGAATGACACCCTCACTCCACAGTCTGCTAAACCTGCCCTCTCTGAAGGCAGCCTGGGGAAGGGTTTATTCCAGTCATAACCTTCAGAGTGTGTTGCTTGCTCTTTCCTTCAAACAGAAGCCTCAGAAACCTCCAGGAGATCTTATTCTCACTATTTATTTTCCCAGCCAAAATCTTCAGGGAAAATCTGATGCTTTAGCTTGATAGCAGAGGAATACAATTCCCAGGACACAACCCTGGCAAGGACAGCATGCTCTTTTGTTTGCCTCTTTCCTGGGATTTTTGCACCGTGTGCTGTTTGACTGTAGCGCTGGTCCTCATCTCATTGTATGCATTGGGCATTCCCTACGTGGAAGGTGCACCCTGAAATTGCTCCCCTGCTGCCTGCAAAAGCCAGACCCTGCTCTGTACAATCCCAGTGCTGTGGCCAGCTGGTTTGACATTGGCCAGAACACTGGGGGCACCTCAGCCCATGTCTGGCCCATGAATTAGTGACCTGTCACAAGTCCATCCTGCTCAGCTGCAGCTTCTGTGGACAGGACACTCAGCTTCTCTCCAGTCAGGTTATTTTAATTTCTGTGCCCTCTGGATATGGATTTAGGTGTCAAGTATTAGGTCCTGCAGCTCAAAAGCATGAACCATGTGTGTAGAAGCCTTGCAGCAAATAGTGTCCTGTTGAAGTTGACAGCCCTGATGGGAAGGAAGGCTCTGCTCAGCCCCCAGGAATGACTGTCTGTGTTTGCTGAGAGGGAGATTGTCCCCAAGGAGGGCCCTGGGTGGGAGCAGCCATGGTCTCGGGGACGCTGCTGTCACCCCATCTCTCGTAATGTCTGGGAAAGCTGTCTCTGCTCGCCGTGATATTACTGCACTGTTCTCTCTCCTTTTCTCCTGTCCCGTTGTTCCTGTTACTGCTGTTCTCCTTGAACGTTTCCACCTTTTTTCCCCTCTTCTTTTTTTTTTTTCCCCCCCTCATTCTGTTCACTGGGTTTGACACACTGTCCTTTTCTTCTCTCTGTCTCTATCCCTCGCCTTTTTCCTCCTCTCTTTTTGGCTTGCTTTGTCTCTCTCTGCATGCTGTACACCACCCTTCCTAGGAAAGGCACTTGTTTGATACCATATCACTGCTGATCCAGGAATCTCTGGAAGGAGAGCTGAAGCTGATGGACAACCTGTCAGGCTCTGTGTGCCATCATTATGCCCTCCCAGCTCCCGAATATTACAACTCTGAGAACCAGGTTAATATTCCTAATTTCCTGCAAAGTGTCCATCCAAACTCAATTTGACTGAGACCTTTAATAGCAAGTTAAAGTTCTTTATGTAATGCAGTCACAGGGGTCTGGAAGCATAAAGCATCAATTTGGCTTTTTCTGTGGACATAGATGATGTTGTGTATCAGTGCAAGAGGAAGAGAACATGCCCAGACTTTCCCTTGTCAACACAGTAAGAAGTTTTTCACTGGGATTTACAGTTCATGGGTGTTACTGGGGAAATGCACAAAATTCCATCTCCATCCTTCAGTGGGGCTCTTATACTTGGCTTCCTGCTCCTGAGCAGGACTGACTCCACAGCAGTGTCAGGGCTTGTCTGCAGAGCCTGCAGCACAGCTTGAGGCTTTCCCAGAGCAGAGTTTGAGCTGCTGGGGATCATCAAATGATCTCTGTGTTCTGTGCCAATTTCAACTGCCTGAAAATCCACTTTTGAAGGGTTTTCCTGAAGAGGCTTCTTGCAAGTGGGTCACTGTAAACTAGATCCTCCTCTCTGATCTAGTGAATTTAGGAGGGGAGGCAGCCTTTAATGATGAACATAAATAACCCTGCGCTCCAGTGCTTTCTCCAGCAGACAGTGCTTGTTTAAAATTAGCTCATTTACTTCCTAGAATAAAATACTTTTTAAAGTGTGTTATTCTTCTGAACAAATATTTTCCCTAAAACATAGCAGTGACCATAACAATAATTCAAGCACACCTATTTTTTGCTGCAGTTGGGATTGAGCAAATTCCATATTTTTTGATCTATTTTTCCCCCCACTTTCTGGCTAAAAAGAACAGAAGTTTTCTTGTTAAATCAGAGTACTTGTTTATGAGCTCACTGACATTCTAAATTACCCAACTTTCGATGGTTCATCAGAGAAAAGGAACAAGCTTAGGTAAAATGAAATCCTGCTGCAGGTCTTTATATAGAAGGATAACATCTCTCCCTCTGATTGCTCCATATTGTATCCCAGAGTTTATTAAGCTATAGGAAGTGGTTATCTCTAATATTTCCAGAGGAACAGAGACAGTAGTTTTGGCAGGGAAGGCAGAGGGTCAGTAGGAAACTCAGTGAGAGCTGGTTGAAAATTTTTTGTCACAACATTTTTCACCAGAAAGTGCTGCTGCAGCAAAAAAAATGGGTTTGTTTTGACATTTCTGTAATGGAAAAATATAGCTTTCCAGTTTGCAATGGCTTTTTCTTTTAAAATTTAAGCTTTTTTTTCTTTTCCCCCCTGCTCTATAATTAAAACTGGTCTAAATCAGTTGGATGTTTCCAACAAAATGTTTTGACGGCTTCAAACTCAATTTTGGGTTTGGGAAGGCTGAAGTGGGGTGATGTTTTGTTTACATTTTGGCATTTCTGTTCACACCATTTGTCATGTTCTCAGGCAACTCAGGAATTTAGAGCAGCACTGGGACTTGCTGAAAGCAAGTGATTAATAGCAGCTCCCAGCAGGCAGGAGCTGCTGGTGTCCACCACACTCCTGCACAGATTTTTGCTGCCTCTGGTTGCTGGGTCCCTCTCAGGGATTCCTGTCCTCAGGCTGGCAGCCTTTGCAGTGATGCCTTTTTGGGGAGCCTCATATGAAATCAGGGGCTCCAAATCATCTCTCTCATCCATTGCCAGCAGATGACTGTGCTAGAGAAGATATCAAAGCTGAGGTTAGGTGAGAGGAGTCCAACCCTCTTACTTATCTCAGCTGAATTTTGAGCCTCTCCAGGCTCACTCATCACTGAGTTTGTTCCATCCCGTGGCTGCCATTTCTAAGAGTGAGAAAACCCAGTCCTTTGAGAACTCCAGTGATCTGGGCCGCTCTGTTTTCTCTTGGAAGATTTATTGCTGCTGAAAGACTTTTCAAGCATAGAGGATGACAAAAAGAAATGCACAGTGAGAAGTGGACAATAAGCACCTGGAACTTGCCCAGAGTAGATGGCCCCTGCAGTTGTGAGCCAGGTCTGGAGGTTACCTGATGAAATTCCAGTCCTGGTGCCATGAGCACTGTGTCCAGGGAGGGATCTGGGGATAACTGAGCCTCCTGCAGGGCAGACACCCCCTCTTACAGTGCCTGGCAGCACTGCTGCTACCCTAGGGGAGATGCCACTGTCCCCTTTTCCCCCTCTTTTTCCTCCAACATCAGAAGTGACATTTTCACATTTCTTATAAAAATACCCTTATGTCTAAGGAAAGAGCTTCATCAATGATTTGATAAGGACATTTATTGATTGATTGATTGTCTTCAGTGGGGATCCATTTGTGCAAGACACATGAAAACAGGAGTGTGGCTGTGTAGAGCTGATTCCAAAGTCGGGATTTCTCAATGCCAGAGGAAACAGCTGGGGCAAGGCCTGAGGGACATTTGGGGGCTGAAAAATGCAGTTGGCTGTTTTAGTAGGATGGTTATTGGTGTCACTGGAGGCTCTATAGCCGGCCAAAATGAGCTCAAAGCACCAGGAAGGTGTTTTCTGACCAAAACCAAGCTTTAGGTTTCTCCCTGTGCCATTTTAGCCATGAGGAAGTGAATTATGGTCCCACCTGCTGCTTGGGGGGTGGTGGGGAGTGTCCCAGCAGCCTCCCTGGGGCACAGGAAAAGGCACACTCCATACCCCACCTGAATATATGGTTTTGTTTTTTGGGGAATCGTTGAAGACTCAACAAGTTTAGCTTGGAAACCAGCATGGTTACTGGGGGGGGACAACTTCTGAGAAATCAGATTTTGAAACCTCTTGTATTTAATCACAGCCAAGAGGATGAATCTATTATGAAAGTAATGTTTCCTTTACTTCTTCATGTAGACAGGGGAACAGCAAAATGCAATACTAGCATTAGTGTATGGTTTTAAACCCCCTCCCAGACCCTTGGTAAGCACTAAAATATAAATGTCCCATTCCTTTCTTGATTTCTTCATTATATTTCATTTCTTTAACGTTCTGTCCCTGGTAACAATGTGTATGATACAGCTTCTCCCACTGCAGGGATATTGCTTTAGTGTCTAGAAGTACTTAGATTATGATACTTTTTTTTTTCTTTCTTTAATTTTCTTTTCCAAAAGATTTGTGTCCTGGTTTCTTATGTTTAATCATCTCTCCCTTTAGATCCCTCTAGCTGAGATGGAGGCTCTGTCTCTGACGTCAGATATTCTCTCTGAAAAGTCCTGGTCCTTAGCTCTGACGGATGACTCTTTTGCTGATGACATTAACACACACTTACTTAATGCTCTGGAAAGCAATGTACATACACTGGTCACTGTGTAGTCTGATGTTTACAGGGTTCAAAATACTGCTGCCATCTCTCTGCACCTGTCTAATGGCATTTCCAGCTCCAGCCCCTTCCCAAATAGCACCAACCTCTTTCCCTGAACAGGATGCTGTCCTTCATGCCATTAGGTCTTGGCTTTTGTCACTCTTGTCCCCAGTCTTGGCTCCTTGAGAGGAACAAGTAGTTCAAGCAGTTATTTCAATTTTTCTTTTGGTGTCTTACGTATAAACAATGTATTTCCTACAAGTAGAACAAAAAATTAAAAAAAACCAAAACCAAAAACCAACTTCAGAAAGCATCAAGGCTGAAATTTCCTCCCCATCTGAAACAAATCAGTGATGCTGCATGAAGAGACCCCTGTGAGCTAATGACCCATTTCCTCTGCTGAAGAGCCAGCCCCAACACTTCAGTTTGGAGTGGATTTTTGTCACTATGGACACAGGCACCACAAGGCTTTTTGCATGATTGGTGCCAGACTGTTTCTTTTACAAATATCAAACGGGGATCTCTCCCAGATGATGCTTGTTTTGCAGTTTTTTTTCTAGCAGTCACCATGCTGGAAAAAAAAATAATAAATTTTGACTATTCAGTGTCTTTTTGACTGACATAATCAGTATTTTGAACCCTGCCTTAACCATCTCCTCTTTGAAACATTAGATATTTTTAGCTGTGTAGCGGTCAAGTGCTTTTTTTCTGCTGTACAACAGACATAACTCCTTTCCCAACATTTTTAGATCATTCTTGTTTTCTTTGTTGTTGTCCATGTACCCGCCTTTGGATGTTTGTGTTGTTCATAAATTTTTTGCCATATTAGTTGACTGTCATCCTAATTAGCAGTTATTTGAGAAACATCTCTTAAACCGTGACAATATTTCCCATCATGCTTCATGGCATCCTGTGCAAAAGATTTTTTAAACCCCATTTAACTTCTTTACGAGGCTTTTTGTTTCAAAATTAGTATGGAGAGTTGGACAGAGGAGAAACCCTCCTAGTTTTGAATCTGATTAGACAACACTGTTTGACAGCATTGCAAAGTCTCAAGGGTACAGCCAGGAAAGATGGTTTTTCTCCCCTCTCCAAAAAAAAAAAAAGCAAAACTGTGTTGAACAAAGGATTTTGTGAATTTTTATCAATAACAAAAAAGTGTTTGGTCACAGCCATTGCCCAAACTCCTGAAAAACTGCAAGCTTTCATTGAAATATCTTCTAAATGAAATATTTTTGCACTTCATTTGGATGTAGCTTTAGTTGGAAAAATCTTTTTTTTTTTTCAAGGAAAATTTGGACTTGATTCTCAGTCCAGCCAAAACAACACATTTTTCAAAAGTGCCACTGAACCAAAAAGTCATGTACTCCCACTGCTCTGTGGGCTGGCCTAGGAAGGATCATTTTACAGCCACTTTCAATGGTCTTCATGAATTTCACTCATGAGATTTCCCCCAGGATGACCCAAAAGTGGAAATTACCTATATTGGATCCTGTCAATGAACCTAAAGGTTCACTGATGGTTGGATTTGGATGGGGTCTCAAATCCCAGTTCTCATGCTCACTTTGAAATGGGTTTGAGTTTGAGATCTCAGGTTTCAGGCCACCTTTTCTGCTTTAAGCTCAGCAGTATGACAGTGAAACAGTGTGAACTGGGTAGAAGGGAAAGGCAGGGAGGGACAGAGAATTTCCCAAATCCAAACTCTCAGCTTTACCAGCACAGGTTCTGTTCTCCTTCCCCAAGATGTATCAGGAGACTGCAGTCTCCCTTAACTCGTCTGTATCCATGATCTATCCAAATCAGCAGTTTCCCAGGGACTGAAACAAATGCTGTGCAGCAGTGCATACCTGTTTTGTTCATTAAATTTGCAACAGTGATATTTTTTTCTCTTCCCCATCTTTTCTTCTTTTTTTCCTCTTTTTTTTTTTTTCTCTTTCTGCAAATTCCTTTTAATCTCATCATATTTCTTGTGCAAATAAATGTCGTAGTGAAATTTCGTTTTTATGATTGAAGGAGAAAATTGGGATCAAAAAAATCTCTGTTGATTCCAGAAAACCTGTAAAGCACTGAGTAAAGGGAAAATTTTTCAGAAAATAAGATCTAAAGTTTTCCAAAAATTATCAGCCAAATACTGTACTAGACTACTGTAGCATAAACTTATTCCTGCATTTTTCACTTGAGACATTTTAACAATTAAATAATTGTTTCATTAGAAATACACTGGGAAGATGACCTTGATTCCATTTTTGCTGATACTCTCCAAGACAAAAACACTCAAGAACATTTCTGAGATGGATCTATTTTCTTATGAAATCAGACCTGAATCCACTCAATATTGCCTCTGGGGCTGCCTATTCCAAGAGTCTCTTTGGCTGTAAAAATTCCACAGTTAACATTTATACAATAACCCTTGCTTGCATTAGATCCCTTCTAATTAGAGAATGGCTTTCACCCTGAAGGAGTAGGTTTAGATATCTTTTTCAATAGAATAGGTTTAGTTACTCATTATGTGAGAAGAAAATCCAATAAAATTGTTCTGTGACCTAGAACAGAATATATTTTTGATAAACTAGTTTTTGCATTTGGGTTGGGGTTTTTTTTTTGGTTTGTTTTTCTTTCTTTTATTGTCAGAAGAAGAAACTACTCCCCTTTGCAAAGGCCTGCCTTGCTGATGAGGACACCTAGGGAGCAGAGGGTCAAAGTTGGGCCAAGAATGTGACCTTTGCTGGCCTTGAGGCATGATGCCTTCTTTGCATATCCCTGAAATAGTCATGGTTTATTGCTATGGTGTGTCTCCCTCTGTTTCTGTGGTCCATTGTGTGAGAGTTTGTTGACAACCCTGATGGAGGGGGATGGCTCCCTGGTAGCTCCATTTGTGCACCCTGTGCATGCCCATCGTGCCATCCTGGTTGCAATGGCTGTCGCTCACGTTTCTGGGCACTTCTCCTCTTTCCCACCCTTCCATGCCTGCATTCCTCACATTTTTTCTTCCCCTCAGGCTGATCTCCGCTCCAAGGATGACACACTGACCCTGTCCCCCAGCAAGGACCTGCTGAGTGTGAGGAAGCCCTCGGTGGGACGCACCCACTCCTTGCCAAACGACAGCTACATGTTCCAGCCGCCCTACTCCAGCCCCTGCCCTGCTTCCCTGGGTGACAGGAAGCCAGCACATCACAAATCCCAATCAGGTACATGTCCCTCAGCTGGGAAAAGAGTAGAATTTTCCAATACAGCAATGGTTTTCCAAGCTCTTCAGTAAGAGGGAGAAAATTGCCGCTGGTTTCCAGTCATGCGTCCAGACCTGTGGAATGGCTGTGAAAAGACCCTCCACAACTTGCAAAGACCCTCCACAATTTACAAAGCCCTGTTTAAGATAACCCCTTTCCTCAGAATTTATTGGGAATGTGAAAGTGGCCTGGCCCTGCCTGATTCCCTAAGGTTACAGTCCCTACAGTCTGGGTTCCATCTGGCCCACTGGGTCTCAGAGGAGAAATCCCAGCACAGAAATATTTCCTCCTGTTTTTTGCAGCAGTACCTGTTTGGAAGCTCTATCTGGGAACATCTGTGAAAGATGGGAAGATGGTGTCTCTAAATGCCTGTAAAATGAACATAAATGTGCTGAATTAAGACACGTGCCCATGTGAGATAAATGGGAAAATGAGAGAGTGTGGAATTGTTCTTCCCAGTGTGTGTGGTTGGGATATGCATCTTGGAGCTAAATTCAGTGATATTCTTAGGTACAGGGAGGGTTCTCCCAAGCTTCACCTCTGCCCCTGTCCTTGGAGCTGTCTCCCAGGGCTTGTCCCTGTGCCCCCAGCTCCTCTGCTGAAGTGAATGGAGCCACCTTTAATTTGTACATGCCATCATTTTAGACATTTGTCACTGATAAGACAGGGGAGTTTTTACAAGTTTTTGCCATTTGAAAGCCTCTAAGCAGAACATAATTTCAGCAATGCTCAGAATGGTAGGAGATTTAAACAGATTAGAAATAAGATGTTGAAATTTGCATAGTAATAAGAATTTGGGTGAATAGCGACTGTCGAACAGAAGCAAAAAAGAAAAAAAGTGAGTACAAGGGAGGAAGGTGAATCTGGTGTTGTGAGAGATCTCTGCCACAATACACAATTTTCAAGGTCAAGAGCGGTGTTTTGAAGAATCTGTTTGCACATAATGCTAATGGTGCAGCTAAAATTCCATTGCAAGCAATAGCAAATCTCCCATTACCTTCAGCTGAGTCAGAATTCATGTGTCTCTGTAACAGTCAAGAAATTCCTGACCACATGAAAGAATCATGTTTGCTGCAGAGGGAATTTCCAGTGCTTCATTGTTGACCCTTAACTGGGATGTATTTATACTGTCTTGATCAAAAACTATGTCAACAAGGGACTGGGTAATTTGTGAGTCCCTTCTTTTTTCAACATTTCACTTCCCAGTTTCAGTTTGGAGAACCTGAATAGCCCTACACAACAGCCCTGGCTTTCTGGGCTCAGGCATTGCACCCTTGTAAATCCACAGGAACAGCTGTTTCACTGAGGTGTAGCAGAAATACTTTGCAGAGGTAAAGCTAATGTCTTATAACCACATCAAGCATTTAAACCTTTTAGTGTTTTTCTCCTGCTGGTGAAATTCCAATCATCTTAAGCAGGCCAGAGTGCTGGCAGGTGGGTAAGGTCCCCAAATTCTGACACATCACCGTTTTCTTCCACCTACACTGTCACTGCTTTTCAGGGTGTGGGAAGTCACCCCCACCTGTTTACAGTTTGTAATATTATAGAGGGCAGTGAAGACAGCAAGAGGTACCAGGCGCCTCTAATAAATCACCACAACCAAGCCATAATATTTCAAGCTGAAAAGGTTTTGTTGTCAGAAACACTGGCACTTGCAGGAGGCATTTGTTTGAATACTCCTTCGTAATGGGGCTGTTGTTCTGGGAAAGATTCCAGGACAAATGAGATTCTCTGGGATGAGGTCCAGATTAAATTAATTGTTTTGAAAAACGTTGAGCCTGTGTGTAGGGGGAGCACACAGAGTTTCAAACCTTTTAGAAGAAGTAGCCAGCAATCACAAAGGGTCAGGCAGAGGCTGGAGAGTTGTGTTTCCTTCTGGGAGGCTTTGTAAAACCAACCTTGAGACCTGCCAGGTGCTGTTCCCTTTCACTTCATTTCCAGTGTGTGCATGCAGGTTTGGAGATCCCAGCACTTGGTCTCCATGCAGGCTCAGGCATGGAGACCCCTTCTAGAGCCTTTCAAAGTCAGATGTTTGAGGTGCTCAGAAGTGAGGCTGCCTGCAAAGTAATTGGCCCAAAAGTAGGGATGCAGGAATTGCCAGTTCAGATGAACTTGTAGTTCCTTGTGTTCTGTTCTCAACAGGAGCTAGTCCCAGCTGTATCAGGGGAAAATGCCAAGAAAAATGAAATAATAGACAATGCTGGAGTAATTTATTAGTAGATGGGAGCTTTTTTTTCCCAGTTCTGGAGAGCCATTTGCTGAATTCAGTGGTTTTGCTGTGCCTATCTGATCCAAGGTGCAGCAGAGAAGTTTTCCTTGGGAGGTCCCTGAGGTTGGGACACAACCCTTGGATGAACATGTCCCATTTCTTCCTCTTCTCTCCTTCGCAAGGTTCAAAGGCATCGGTGCAGTCACAGCCAGCAGACACCAGCTCCCTCCTACAAATCCCAAAGGAACATTTCCACCATGTAAGAGCTCATGACCATTTGGTGGGGGACAGCAAGCCCCGGGTCTCCCAGCAGGCACACTCCCCTTCTGCTGAAAGGCTGCTCCGCAGACAGGTAAGCAGAGTGATGATCATAAACCTGCTGAGCTTTTATATTGATGCATTTCCTGGTGAAGCATGCTTTAAATTCAAGGAGGGATTCACAGAGAAACCTCCAGAGAACTGTAATTCTCCTACAGAAATAACAAAAAGGTTGGTGGTTTTTGATCTGAAAGCCATCCAGGAGTCTCCAAAGAATGTGTGTAATGAGTATCATGTCCTTTGGCAACATGCCTAAATGTTATCCACGTTGTTAGCACTTTGTATTTTTTTTAATCCTCTTCATAAATGCAGCCAAATGCTCCCCTGGGGCTCATTGGGGTTGAGGAACTAATTCTTAACTGCTGTGACTTTTTCAGTGCTTGAAAGGACACAAGGATTGCAGGCTCCATCCCAGGCCACCCCTCCTCTGACTCCTCTGTTTTCCCAAAAGAGGAGAAGTGTTTCATGGAAATTGGTTATCTCATATGCAAAACCATCATGGGAAACATACTGGTTTTTCAGTGAGAATTGAAAATTAAAATATTTTTCCATCAGCTGTGAGGTTTTAAAAAGTTTGAGTGTATGCAGAGCAGAACATGTTTTATTTTGCAGCCAGTTTTATCTCTGGTTTTTGCCTGGCATTGATTTAAATCCTGATTCAATCAAAGATCTAAGGGATCTAATCAAAGATTCCAGTCTGGTTGATTGGAAGCATAAGTTTAGACTTATCTTTTTTTAGTAAAATACTTAAACTTGTGCTTCACTCTCACATTTTTAAGCATATTTCAATGATTGTGCAGCTGGACCAGGACCAGAAGCACATCTGATTCAAAATCTCTGCTTTATTCAGTATTTCCATGCCTTATTTTATTTACACAAAGGGGATCAGTTCTATTTTTTTAAAAGTAATTTCTTTCCCATATGAAAATATTCCCGTTTCTTTCATCTTTTAATCAACATTGACAAATTAGACAGTTGATTCATTAAGCTCTAAAAATGGATGTGAAGTACCAAGGTTAACAATTACATTAGTCTGTAATACTAAATTGACATAAGAAATTCCTTGCATGTATTCATTTGCATGGAGCTGGCCAGCTATTCCAATCACCACTAATGGGGAAACTAATTGAAGTCATGATTTCAGTTCATAACCACTCTCTCTTGCTTTCTAATGAATAACAGACCCATCCTTTTGAAGAGATGTAGCCAGAATAAATTACTATGTTAGCCATCTTCTCCAGTGTGATTTTGTTCACATCTTTGATGGCTTCTTTTTCTAGACCTTTTCATACTTTTAAGCCAATTTATTGCCCTCCCACCCTCTCTCCCTGCTCATGCAGGGACATGAACATGCTCTTGGAGTGACAGTTCAGAGAGCAAAGAGCTTTGTGAGCAGATACAGTCCGTGGGCAAACCCACGAGGGGTTGCCTTGGGCAGGCTCCTGAGCAGCAAGGACCTCCCAGTCTTGCAAATGGGAGCAGTCAGGTTGTTCTGGTGATATTGCTGTTACTGTTAATTGCAATCTAGATGGCCAGACACTGGTAAACTTGGTCCTTTAAGAGGCAAAATTCCCTTTACAGCCCCAGCACTTCTGCTTGCTCAGGTGCTCTCTGCTTGATTCCATTTTATTGCTACCACTAATTTCTCACTAGCACATCAAATAGCCCAAACTGGCAAAGCAGTTTGGTTTTCAGTACCCATTTATCCTTATCATTATGTATACTGCATGGAACTCTGATTTAGTTTCTTTTTTTCTTTTCCTTTTTCTTTTTCTTTCCTTTTCTTCCCTTTCCACTCATGCCCTCTCCTCTCCTGAATCCATAATAGATAAACCTTATCCATCACATACCTGGTCCTTGCACTTTCCCTGAGCATTAAAACCTGTGTGTTTAACCTCCCTTTCCCTCCAGAGTGCTGGAGAGCGAGCACAGCCCCCACAGTAACGTCCAGTTTAGACTCCGGAATGTTTGACCATTAGCAATGCACTCGCAGAGGAAGATGAGTGGATCGGATGCTTTGGGAGAACATTCCTGCTGAGGATTACGCTCCTTGGCAGTGCATGGCACAAAGGCTTTTCTCCAGAGGAATTCTACCTGAAATTAAACCTATATTGATTTTGTAGTTCCAGGACTGTGTATCCAAGGTGTAGCCCACACCAAGCTGTGGCTGCTACAGGTGTACACCCCTCTGGGATGGCAGAGGGTCCTTTTATTTTCAAACAAACCAGTAAAACATTTGTACTGTTACTACTAACAACAACCACAGATGCCTGTATCATAGGCAAAGAAAGAGCTGGTGGTGACAAATACTGTCGTGGTGTGCAACACAGGTTGGTGTGCAAGCAAAAGTAATGGCAACAATTACTTTTTGCTTCTGTATTCGACTTCCGTGTGGTCTGTGTCTCCTTTCAGGATATGAACGTGATTTCTTCTCCCAAATACTCATTAAAACCACTGGTGCTGAGGAAACCAGAATAACTTCACTCCTGACTGATTAGTTGCCAGCGTTATGCTGTGAAATTTTAACTAGAAAGGATTCACCAGCACTGGATGAAATTGTTTGCCGTATTAAATATTCTCTGAGCTGTCCCCATTGACAGAGGGAGTGCAATGTGCAGATGCTGCAATAGACTCTGGTGTTTCTGTGCACACATGGACACATTGCTGCTGATGAGAGCTTTGCTGAATAGAGATCATTTGGCTCAAGTGATCCTTGTGGGACAATATTTATGTAACGTGTATGATCATTTTGGGGTTGATTTGTCACAAAAGTATTCCTTAGCATGAGGAATTGAATAATTTCATCTCCTTACACTTTTCTAAAGGATTGGGACCAGCTCTACACATTTCCTCCAAATCCCCCTGTGAAGATTTTTATCTTTAAGATCATTTAAGAGTCTTCTCAAACAGATACTCTGCCTTTAAAGGCCATTTAATGAGATTGATTTATAAAGCCTTTTGACAAGGAATGCAGTGTAGTGAAAAGGCAAAGCCTTCAAAACACGCCCAAGGTTCCCTCTGCCAGCGGGCACTGATGCTGCGTAAGGCTCCAGACAGCCAAGGCAAAATGTGCCTTAGGAAGCCTGAACTTGAGCATCAGAATGAATTGAAATAATTACAGATTATTATTAGTCCAGCTTTGGACTCCAGTATTTCCATCTCCTGCCATACAATGGTGCAAAGTCGTGGCTCCAGCCTGGGGACCCAAGCCAGGGACAGGCTGTTGCCTTGATGCTGGCACACAGCGCGGTTGCTCTGGTGTTGCTGGCTCTGGGGATAGAGTTTCATGCCCTCAGCATCACCTGAGCTACAGAAGGGAATACACAGGCTCACTTGCACATCTTTCTCTCCTGCTCACACCTGGGCTGCTGAAATTATTGAGAGCTTTGCTATAGACCTTCATCCTTTGCATAACATGAGTAAGTTTGGGTGGGGGTGCTCTGGTTTTGCAGCCATCCATCTTTAGAGGAGAAAGCTAAAGGTCAACCATAGAAGAGTGAAGGGCTGTCACACAGAGACAAACCCACAATTCCTGACAATGGGAATTGGTAGAACACACAACACAGGTTGTTATAGGAATCAATGGGTCTGTTCTGAGGGATCTCAGCAGAGCTGAGTGCCCTGTAAATGCTGTGCCTTGCCTGTACTAACCTTTGTTTGGTCTGTCTCTCTTATCTGGCAACTCCTCTCCTCCCCAACCCTTCTGCACTCTGGTACAGATGGCTATAAGGAACGACTCTCTGGATAGCAAGGAGAATCTCCACACCGAGGTGAGTGAACTCTCTGACCCAAATGTTCCCACTGTGCCCAAGGAGGAGTCACCAGTGGCTCTGATGCCCTCAGAAGTGAATGAGCTGGCTGCCTGGAGTCGGGCGAGCGTCCATACGCAGCAGCATTCCCACAATCAGTATAATATTTCAAAGCAGGCACCAGCATCCTGTGCTTGTGCAGACTCGTATCAGGAGACCCCTGAAGATTCAATGGACCAAGAAGTGTCTGAAATAAACAGCTCCTCAGAGCCTTTCACTTCAGAAACTTGCACAGCCTCGAGTGCCTGTTCAGAGGGTCAGCCTCTCACATCTAAGAGGAACATGGGCAATACCGGCAACGTGGTACTGAAGGACCTGAAGAAATACCACAGTGTAGACACCCAGGGTCTGCTAAAAAAACCACCCTCTTGGTTAGATGATCAAAGGAGACATTCCATAGAGATTTGTTCCATAGAAAACAGCCCTCAGCACCATTCCACATCCAGCTCCTCTGGCTTTATAAGTCAGGTGGTCAGTGAAATGGAGTGCTTGCAAGGTACGCGGCAGAAGAAGAAACTGAGCCCTCCCTGTATATCTATAGATCCACCTGACGGGCAGAGTTTGGTACCTAGGGGACCCCACAGCATCTCACCTGCCAGTGGAAACGTTTTCTTGAGGAGGCGTGCTCCATCCTGTGAGTCCAAGGATTCCATGGATATAGGGGATTCACTGCTTCCAGACACTATGTCAGCATCTCCTACCCCAAAGAAAGACTTGTTGACACTTCCTAGCTTTTCCTTTGATCAAACGGAAATGGACCCCTGAGTTACTTTTCTGTTGGTGCCAAATGTCTTCTTCCTTTCATGTAATAGAAAAAAAAAAAGAATTAAAAAAACTCTGTACTCCAAAATGGCACTGGGTAAAAAATTTCCAAAGAAAGATTAAAGAACCAGCTGGTTAAAAGAGTGGTTAACCTATATCACGCTTACTTAAGCATATGTTCTGCTTAGGTAAAAGCAATACAATGTGCAGAATCTATATGTATATTATATTTTATTAAATTAATTGAATCTAGTATTGCAGAATGTAGTACATTTTGTGACTAAAGACTCATTTAATTTTCTTCTATTTTAATGTGTCTCGGAATATTTCTGAGATAAAGTTGGTTTTTACAAATATTTTAACCTAAAAAAAATATATATTTAATCCCTTCTCTTTTTTTGTTTTGTTTTGTTTGGGTTTAATTTTGTTTTGCAAAGCACAAAATGTAGCCAATTAGTGCATTACAGAGGAAATGTATCCCACAGTCAGCAGTAAATAAGGATTATTTAATGTAATTTATTTTTCCCCTTGGACTTCAATGATATTCTGGGAAAACGATTGTTTGTGTAGTACAGAAATGCAGTGGCAATTTTTAAACAAAATATTCCAATCTTGCATAAAATTGATATTCAGAGTGTGAAAGCAAGTGCTCAGACCCAGGAAGGTCCAACATGCTGATGTCTGAAGATTGTGAAGGCAGAGCCATTTAACAGTATAAGACACTGAATTAAGAAAGGATATTATAGATCATCCACTGGCAAATCACAAAATCATGCCAATGATTAATTTTCATACATTCCTAGGAAACAGGCAACGAAGGCCTGTAGTCACTTCTGAGATTTTTTTGCAGTGTCTCCAGGATGGACTTTTTATTTTGCTGAGTTTTACACCTCCCTGATCCCTCTGTTTTCAGTGGATCTCCTCCTCTATGCACGCTGTGGAAAGGAGAGTGAGGTCAAGTTTAGGACTTGCAGTGGATGAAATTGGGGCACACAGGGCACAGCAATGGGCTTAAGCACATGCCCAGAGTTGAGCTCTCGCCTAGAGTGCCTGGAGGTTGATCATATTAAAGTAATTATTGAAAATTAAAATCATATGCTCATGTTCTACTGAATCAAGGCATTTCTGCAAGTTATTTTATAGATTACATGGAAGAAAGTCTGCAGGTACTGAAATGACTGCTGATCTTCAGTAAAATAGATAGGTATTTTGCTATCACTGCTAGAGTTAATTTTCATGACCCTGACTGCAATTTTATTTCCAATTTATCAATAGCCTTAAGCAACAACATGATGATACAAAGTGGATAAACCCAGAATTCATGTCCTTAGTTTATTACATCAATCATCTCAAAAAATTACCTGTTTACTCCTGTGCTAATACACTCTGCCAAAAACAGTCTGTAAAACTGGAGAGCACAGCCTGAAAAACACATGAGATTAGTCCCATTCGACACCTCACCCCCCTCACATGACTGATGAAAGCCAGACATTAACTCCACTCCAATTCCATTAAATCACATTAAGATGTAGGCTAAATTAGACTGCAGGCATGCTTTGAAGTGTGCCAATAGTCACAGGTTTGAAACCAAGTCTACAGATCGTGCCTCTGAACCAGCACAGGCAGGAGAAGGATTTGTGCTAATTCTGTCAGTTGGGAGTTTGTAACTTTTTGGGAACTACTGATCTTTTCAAACTACAACATGCTGATGTACAGCCTTTTATCCATTCGGAGATTAGGTTGTTTCCACCACGTGTATCTGCATTAGCTTGGAGTGTACACACAAAGAGAAGATGCTGTTCGTACCCCACAGCCTATGTGAGGTCTTTAACCCCTTTATTCTCACTTGAGGATGTTTACTCCATAAACAATCCCTGCTGATTTACATGTCCAGGAGAAATGTAAGGGCTTTCAGCAGGAATTCAGGCAATCAGTGTATTTGAAGTAGGGGGATTAACATTCTGTACTATTTACTGCAGTTAGATTAATTCTTGGCTGGGACATTTTTCCCCTCCTCATCACAGGCCCATACCGAGCCCACTCTCTTTGATATGCCAGCCCAAATCCAGAGTTAAGCCTGCCTAAAGTAATGATTTGAAACAAACCTTTCATCAGTTCTTCCCCCAGATCGTATTTAAGGAAATAATAAAATTACAGTGCATTAAGCCTGAGAAATATTCTTAATCTCTTTTTGGTTTTACACCCATAATGAGCCCTAGTGTTTCCTTTTATGTGTGCTAAATAGTTTGGGAAACTAGCTAGGCCACTAAAATTGCCACCCCTGGTTCCTTAATGATTAGGATTGTGTTCACATAGCTAGAATGATACTACTCTCCAGATCCTTCCTGACAAAAAAAACCATGGAACATTTTAGCTTGAAATCATGGCACAAAACAGTGATGTGATATTAATCCAAATGCTCAACTCCAAATGTAAGAGAAAGCTTAAAGGCTCTTCTATTTTAACACTTGGGGTTTTGCCTACTGATGAGGTGTGTGGAAGTAATAAAAAGCTCACATCATATATGCATATTAAGTAAAGAGTAACCAATAAAAGATACTCTATGATGATGCTTTCAGGAAAAGAAATCCATGTAAAATAGATTGTTTTCTAAACCAGATGAGTTTTTTCTAGATGCCCTTTTGAAAGACAAATGTACTGCAGCGCGTGCAATAATACTCAAATCATTTTAAATACCTGCAGGGGGGTTTTATAGAATGTGACTTTTTTAAACAAAATGTAAAAAATCCACAGGAATTCTGTAGAATGGTTATGTTGATAGAATTTTTTTATATTTTTGTAGAAATCTATAGAGAAATTATTAAAAGTCTGCGTAGCGTCTTATCTACAAATTTCTTTTCATAAACCTGGAGCCAGGCCTGCTCTCTTACAGCACCTAGAGTGTAGTTTCATAGCCTAGATCCAGGCTGTGTTCAGGAGTCAGCAGCTAAGCTCAAGTTCCACAATATTGCAGTGCTATTACTGCCCGAGAACTGTACCCACATAAATCAGCTCCCCCCAAAGCTCAGCCCCTGTCCATGGCGAAGCAGTTGCATGGCTCTCCAGCTCATTCAAGCACACCAGCACTTTACTACTGTGGATTTACTGTATGCAGGTGGGAGGAGGATATTTTATTATTGCCAGTCTGACACAATGGAAAAGAGATTGCAGACGTGTCTGGAAAAACACAAATTCCATTCTTGCAGCCCCTCGCACGTGGAAGTGATTTTTCATAACTTGGTTAGAGGTTTTACTGTAGATATTTTGGAGGAGGGCGAAGAAAACACTGTTTTTTACTTCTGTGGATTGCAATCAGCACTATGTGTGTTCAAGGAGAAAATAAAAAAAAAAAAAAAACAAGGGAAAAAAGAAAACAAAAGCATTATCACTGTAAATTAAGCTATGCCCCAGTCTCCCCTTTTCTGCCCCTTTGGCTATAATAACCCATGTACACTATTACACAAAGTGACTAGAGTAGGCACAGTACCATTGCAATGTCCGTAACAACCTAGTATATATGATAGAACTTTGTATTTAATAGCTAATATATTGTTATACTGTATCAGTTATATAGGCCAAAACGAGGTCTTTTGGTCCAGGCAACACAAGGTGGTACTCATGGGGAAAATTGGATTCAAATGTTCTCTTTTTCTTTTTTTTTTTTTAAAAAAAAAAAAAAGGCAAAAAAAAACAAGTGTAAATCTTTACAACTGACAAAAACAAATGTGTCCTATTAAAAGATTTTGAAAAGAAAAACAACAGTGCATTTTCCTTTTTTTATTGTTGTTGCTGATGATAATATGTATCACTCCAGACAGTCAAGTCTTTGGTCATGTTTTAATTCTGAACATTTGGAGAAGGTATCAGGTAGCATTTGGAGAAGTTATCAGATAGCAGCAGCGGCCAGGAGGCTGGAAGGAAGATTGGGAAATGACAGCCCTTTGTGGAGCAGTTTGATGTGGCCTCAAGCAAATGTGATCCTGGACACTGGCCAGGGTGTGCAGAGTGACCAGCAGGACCATCAGCTGTGCCCTTGTGGATCCCTCTGCCCTGGCAGGAGCAGCTCTGCGATGTGTGAGGCTTGAGGGTGTCAGGACTGCAGCAGAGAGACCTGCAGCCACCCAGGAGAAAGGACTGAGGAAAAAGGGCAGATCTGATCTGTTTGTGAAGAGGAAGATGCTGGACTTTTCCACTCATTCACATCTTTGAGATTTCCAGCCTAAAATCCAGCAGTGTCTCCTGCTGTCATTTAACTCCTTGCAGAGCAGGAATTGGTGGGCAGGGCGCTGAAGGGCAGCAGGAGCTCAGAGCTCAGGTACTGCTTAGGTACCACCAGAAATATTTCACAGAATGGTTTGGGTCGGGAGGGACCTTAAAGCTCATCCAGTGCCACACCCTGCCATGGGCAGGGACACCTTCCACTGTCCCAGGCTGCTCCAAGCCCCCTCCAGCCTGGCCTTGGGCACTTCCAGGGATCCCAGCTTCCCTGGGCAACTCATGCCAGGGCCCCACCACCCTCACAGGGTAGAATTTCTAACTTAAACCTGCCCACCTTCTGTTTGAAGCCATTCCCCCTTTTGTGCTGTCACCACAGGACCTTGTTAAAAGGCTCTTCAGGGGTTTTTAGTGAACGACCTGTGTAGCTCCTTACATGAAATCTCTTCCCTGGGGAGCAGCCACTGGAAGGAAGAACCAGACACTGGGTGTTCTGCAGCCCTGCTCCTCACTGCCTGGAATGATCTCATTGCTCTGCAGGAGGAGGGACCCTAAATTGACACCCAGACCAGTT